AGCRGCCAGCTCTCCTTCAGGCTTCATAAATCCATGCCTAGCTCACAAAAGAGCAGTCTGCTTCGCTGATGTCGGTGACAATATGTGGGCTTTGCTGGTGGATGGCATAAACTAAAAGAAGAGAATCGAGCTGCTTATTTCTTTAGGCTTAAATTTTCAGCCTTTAATTGAATCCTAATCAATGGCAGATAACGAGCAGCAAAGTTTAAACAAAGGTTCTTAAAATAGTGTTAGACTGTTTAACACTAATTATGAAAAATCAATCCTGTTTTTTAGATTTAAGTTAGCTGAAAGGCTGGAATGATGAACAAACCTGAAATTTGCTGTTAAATGCTTCCAAATGGAACAGGGAATGAGGTTAAAATAGACTTTTCTCTGCTTGCTTATAACTGGAACTTTTTGTTAGTTGTTCTGGATGCGAAGGATTAGACTCTGATGAGTAACTTTAAATTTAGACTCCAGATCTTTCTAAAAGCATTTCAGAATTACTTGTCTATTTTATATATTGTCTGCAGAATGTCATRCTTGTATTGGAGGGTGAGATGAGAATGTTATCCCATCATAATTTTTGAGTGACTTGTGAAATTTAGATGACAACATGAAATTTTATGAAGCAACCCAAGCTTCTCTGATATTCATTTGGCAAAGTTTTATGTAATATTATGCTGGGATATGTGTTATTGTGTTTTGTTAACATTTATCACATGAATGATGGTGGTTAGGGACTGGGGCATGGTAAAATGATGCTTGCTCCAAGAGCTGTGTTTCAAGACAAGCTGAGTGAGAAAGTTGGAAATAGCACCAAAGTCTCTCTTTGCTGTTATATTTGATACTGTGAATAAAAATAGAGCATGGATTACAATCAGGATAGGGCTGATGTCAGTAAAAAAAAAAAAAATCATAGATGTACCATTTGGCTGCTTTTATCCTGCCCCAGCATCTTTGCATGTTAATTTGATTGGAAATGATAGTTTTGGGAAGACTAAAGGACTTGAAGTTGCTGTTGAGCCCATGCCCCATTTGAGTCCCCTGAGAGAAAACGGCACTGACCTCACGAGGTGAAGGACCTGCTTGTTGCCCCTCAATGGAGAAGCCTTGGGAGCAGAGGCAAGGGCTGTGAAAGGTTTAAGGATGTGACTGTGGCCTGTGTTAACTTCTGCCTTGATTTTTCCTTCTATTCTCCCCCAAGATCTCTGAGTCTGTATTGAAAATGATTTCATTTGGAATTTTAATTCTCTTTGTCCAATATTGTATTTTTTAAGCTGGACTCAAATGTAAGATGTATGTGCCAGCAATGAGTACGCCTATATTTAGCATAACTTCTGCTTGCATCTAGTGCTTACTGATGGATTGTTCATAGTCTGGAAAACTAGGCCACGTTTTTTTAGGATGCCAAAAAAAAGCCAATAACTTTCTATGGTGTATTTCTGTTTGGTTGTTTTTTAGGATGTTATAGTGTTAGTGGGACTCCAGACATGGTGATCTTCTGCTAGGCAGGGGCAGATAAAGCATGAGGAACCTGTGAACAGGAGCAGCAGGAGATCCTGGTCTCCCCTGGTCCTTCCAGTAGTGTTCCTAGAAAACTGTCCGCTGCTCACGTTGGGCCTCAGGCCTGTGGGTGCCTTGTTTCCTTCACCCTTCTAGGCAGATTCATTCCTCAGTCTTCAGTAGTTCTTGGTCTCCCTTCACTTCAGTTCAGCTGTTTTGTTTCTGGTATGAGTCACCGCTTTGCCCAAATAGTATCAAAATGAGTATTAATGGGTGGAGATCACAGCACCGGAACGGCCTTGGCAGCCGCTGGGGATGGCGTCTGTCACCGCTCGGCACGCCTGCAAGGCTCGTGTCACTTCTCTGACGTTTGCAAGGACAAGGTTCTCTGGAACYGTGTGAAATGATCTCTTTTATTTAAAAGTGAAGGCAGGGCTTCYCTGGAAGCTACTGCTTCCCACTTAGCCCAGAGAAATTTAAATTAGAAGATAAGAATACCTGAATGGGAATAAAACTCAGGTTCTGTATTTTGCATTAACTTTGAGCTGTACAAGCCTTCTGTCTGAAGCAGGGTGGGATCTTTAAATCAAGGAAAACTTTTCTTGATTCCCACAGCATTCAGGAGAGCAGATGTGTAGCTGAGCGAGTCCTTACGTTGCGCAGCACTGTGGAAACTGCTTAATCGACATAAAAGTCAGTCTGAAGAAACTGGGTCTTATTAAAAAAAGAAACAAATCTAACCACAGAGTTAAAAAGGAAAACCCACAAAACCTCTTACTGGGGTTGTGTCTTTTTCAAAAGCATCAGTGTGGCTTTGCAGTGAGATTTTCTGTTAAATGCTATGCAGAGCAGGCTTGTTCTTTACACATCKTCCCTCTGCCCGGGTCACACGTGCAGAGACTGCAACTTCTAAAGGCTAATAGCTGTGCAAATACAAAATGCTTTCCTTATGCAAGGGCTGGCTTAATCTGCAGAGATTCAGTAAGGACTCTGTGGAGTGTGGTAGCTCAAAATATGGTTAAAATATTTTTTCTTTTAGAARGGTAGGGCAGTTGCTTGAAAAGCTGTTATTTCTGTGTGTCATAATGCCRAGGGTACAGGAGGAGGGAGTGTCTCAAGTTTGTTATCATGGGAGAAAAATGAGCTGTCTTCCAGTTTAGGACAAAAACTGGGCCTATATTTCGGAGATGTACCGACATTGATACTCCCCACAAAAAAAAAGGGAATTTAATTGTATCTTGTGTGTTACTTCATTTAAGACCAAGGAACCTAGCCAGGCATAGCAAAGGAATTTTCAGGCTCGAACTGATGAGAGTTTGCTCGAAAGAGGTCTTGTGAGTGACTGCTGGGGCTCTCCATSGTGAGATCTGTTCCATTTTTGTATGTCCCACCTGTCTGATACCAGCTAGATATTAGAGTAGGATGGTAGCTTACATGAATGGGGTACCTCATTTAAGCCCAAAGAAGCATTGTGTTTTGYTTGTGAAGCTAATGAATATAAGTTAACTCAGCTGTCACAGAAAGGCTTGAAACAAGTACTTGGTGAAGTCTTTCCAGAAGAATTATGGTCTACTGACAAAAAAAAAAATCAGCTAAAATTATGCTGTCTAGTCTCAGTGTGGGCGAAGACAGCTGTATCAGGTTGGTGGGTTAAAYGTTGCATCCTTCGAGTTGAGATATACTTTATTTTTAGAAAAGTTTGAGGAGAAGACTTGGCTTTCCAGACTGAAGAAATACTTTTGTTTCAGATGGTAAAATTTACAGTAATTCTGATAAGTCTACTATAGCTAATGAAAAAGCTGTTCCTCACTTGTTCTTGGTTTGTATTCAATATGAAAAAGACAAGCTGAATATTGATTGCTAGAATGAACCTTAAAGTCCTTTKGATGTAAACTTTCATGCATTCTTTAAAAATCATATATGATTAAAACCAGCCAAACAAAAAAAAGAAATCCCCAAATTGATCTATATGCAGACTAGTGCAGCTGAGCAAGAAACACATCTTGAAGGCAATGAGGTTTTTCCCAGTAGCGGTTGGAAATAAAACATGACTCTTGGTTTCGACCTTAGGACAGCTTTTTATCTACAGCCAAATGCTATGTTCTCTATAATCCAAATTATACATCTTTATGAGGATTATTCCCATTGTTTTTGCACATGTGCCTACTCACACATATGAGAAATGTGTGTATTTAAGTGTCATTATGTGGACTGGACATGGTTGGAGGCAAGCAGGCCAGCTGCCTGTGCTGGTCAAGAAGATGCTGGGGCATGAGATGTTTCTATTGGTGCTGCTGGGGCATTCCCTGCTGTCCGTGTGCTCCCCTTTCCCTGCTGAGACCCTATAGGAGTCTTGGCAGTGTCCAAGTGCTTTGTATGAGCTGGCTGTGCGTTCCAGTGAGCGCAGGAGTTGGAAAATCGTGGTAAGAACTCAAGGCTTCCAACAGCTTTGCTCATCCCTCTGTTGCTAGGAAATATATGCATGAATATTTGCAAGTATACAAATGTAGAATTAGTTAAGCTCAAAAAAAAAAAAAGCTCACGTATATGAAGCAGAGGAGATCTTGGGGCCAGTTTAATTCTGTAAAGTCTAAGAGGAGCAAAGTAGCCAGGCCGATTTTGGCAYGTGGATTAAATGTGTGAGGAAATGCTGCTTCTGGAGGGCTGCACAGCACTAGAGTTTAAGTACTGTACATATTGGCACACTGCAGCTTCTGTCAGAAAACAGCAAGTCTTTAAAGAGCAGCTGATGGGCGATTTTAGTACCATCTTGTGCAACTTGAGCAGCCCTGGCAGCCCTTAACACAAGCTAGTGTCTGGGTTAAAGACCTTCTGCTTTGGGATGCCTTTCTGAATGGCTTATTCAGCTGGAAAATACAGGGAACAAAGGAGCTGGAAATATTTTGTCAGGTTGGTGATCTCACAGTCCAGAGAGCCAGCCACTGATTAGAAAGACTTGTATTGTATAACACAAGAGCTAGTGCATAGAAAAACACAGATCTTATTCTACTTCTTTCTTCATTAACTTTTGCATAATTATTTTTGCCTAAGGAGGGTGTGAATGTGGGTGTGGGAGGCATTGTCAGTAATTACGTACGTTTTTCTAATAGACTAGACGGACTGAATAGGAAAATGGGGACTATTCTTTAACTTTGAATTTGCTTTTTGACTTTTGGGGGGGAATTGAGAGACAAGTCTACAGAGTTCATGGGGGTTAAGTTTTTTTATTTGCTGTACTTAGTTGTGCAGTTTCTTTCTATGGAGAGTAGGAAGAGGGAAACATTTCTCCCTTCCCCAAATTATTTAATGACARTGTTGGCATTAGACAAAATGTGATTTGTAAGATATTAAAACTTGACCAATGCAAATAAATAATGGTCTGAAAACTACATATGACAACAAATATAATGGAGGGAATTGTCATTGCTACAAATAYATTTTGTTGCTATTTGATTGCATCTGGGATTTATGCTGAAATTCTTCATCTTAAGTATGACTTTTTTCTCCTGCAGGTTGGAAAAGAGACTGTGCAGACAACAGAAGACCAGATCTTGAAAAGGGATATGCCACCCGCGTTTATCAAGTAAACTCATTTATATTGTCAAATCTTCTATTGTAGGGACAGGAGATGTCCCAGTGATAGGTCACTGTTACACACTTCTGTTGAGCAGAATGGAAATTATGTAGTTCCCTTTCTGGGCTTGTGGCTCACCTTCAGAAATGACTTTTCAGGCAAGAGTGATGAAATTTCTTGCTGTATTTTGTTTGTTAAGGGTACCTCTCTGTCTATACATGTCTGTCTTTTGTCTTCTCCCAAAATAAAAATGTTCCACAGTTACCATGGCACTTACTGGTGTACTGGTTTTATGCCTAATGCCAGATAAAATGTGTGGTATTTTCTCAAAATCTTCTCTTTAATGTGATAGGTAAAATGTGAATTTGGTGTTACAGGCAGTTGATACATGATATCACTGCTTGAAAATCTAAGACATTTGAAGAGCAGTGAGTGCTGCTTTTAATTAAGTTTATGACTTAATACTGAAGGCGATAACTTTTGTTGGTCTGTCTTAAGAAGATGCATCACTTGTTTTCTTGCAAAATGAAAAAAGTTTCTTTCAAATGAAAAACTTTAGTTGAAATGATTTTGCCTTACAAGCCACTGAAAGCAATATTAGCCTTCTCTGCTGATGTGCATACAATGAATGGATATTTTGATGTACTCATGAAGACAGAAGAGGCAAGTGTTCTAAGTTATAAAGCACTGAGGTAAATAGGAAATAATGTAATGGAGAACATCAGTGATGTTGAAAGGGAAATTTTCAAGAAACAGTGAGTGTAGATTTATTTTGTTGCACTCAAGTTCACAAAAAAAAGCACAAACTGCCAGGGTAAGGTAATATTAGCGGAAGAGTTGAGGTTGTGAATGAAATCACTGAATTATTACTGACGTGTAAGGTCTCGCCTGAAACTACTGAGTATGTCAGAAGTGAAGGTGATGCTCCTGTTTGGAAAACTTTGCARGAGTATCTAGGGAGCAGGATGCGAGAGGTTTGGCCATACCGTTTGGATAAATGACTAAAGAGGAGAGGGAAGAATAGAGATAATATTGAAGAGAATTTACAGGCACCCAAGTAGCAACTTTATCTTCAGATAGGGTGCTTGACTGTAAACTGGCCATTGCTGCTAGCAAGAAAGGAAGACAGTGGAGCTCTGATAGGCCCTTGTTGGTAATCATTTTTGACCCTTACTGAGCTCATATATCTATGAACTGAGTTGCATGGAGGTATGGATAACTTGAACTACTCTTGCAGTGCAAGAACTTGAAGGTGACTTTACATCAAGCTGCTGCCTTTTGTTGTTTTTTCAGCTGCTTTATACAATAAAAGGTGTCCTGATTTCTTGCTTGGATTTGGAGGATAACAAGCAAATAGAGGAATCCATTTAGGGTTATCAAATAGACAAACAAAAATCCCATGAGCTGAAAATAGCTGGAGGATAGGACAGTGCCCGGAGGAAGTAGGATAAATGCTTGGCCTGTTGTTAGCCTTTCTTAGGCATCCACTTGTGGCTGCTTTTAGAGACAGGATACCAAGCTAAAAGGGCCTTTGATACAATCCAGACAGTCTTATGCTGTGTTCCTGGTGTATGATCTTGTTTGCTTTTTTTTTCAGGGTTGTTTTTCTGTTTTGGGGGAGGAGGGTTTTGGTTTGCTGGCTTTGGAGGATGTGTGTGTGTGTGCGTATGTGAATTGAAACAAAACTAAAACATTTTTCTTGATCCTTGGGGAGCTGTATATAAACACGTCATTTTGTTTCTGCTCCATTTCTAGGATATGTAGAGTTTTTGGTTCACTTCCAGCTGCTTGTTCACCAAGAGGAAAGCGAGGGACTAAGGAAAAGAGGCTGCCTTTTGAATTGCCACACAATAATTGGCCTCTGATAATATTTACCAGATTATGAAGACTTACRTAGTCATATTACTGTAGAATAATGTGATGAAAGCTCAGAAGATTCCTTAGTGGGGCTCTGCTGAATAGTAACATTTCTTGCTGAGCAAAGAACTTGTTCTGCAACCATGTGTGACTGCTTAGTTTGTGCTACAGTGAGAAGGGCGAAGCAGAGCTGTCACAATAATGCAATTCTCTTCACGCAGTACCCACCTAATACCTTGCATGGGACAATATGAATGATGGATCATCTCAGTGATATCCTATTGCATTTGTTTTTAGTTAATCTAGAGAGGATATCCAAAAAATCTCCTACTTGTTAACAGTTCCATATCCACATGGAACGTAGTGTCACTGACTGCTGCGGTATAGGGACATCTGTGAGCTGTGAGGAAGTTGCCAASGAGCTCTACCTGCTTTGCTTTAGAAAGCAAGACTTCAGTGTAGGTGGCTTCTTTCTTTTTCTTGCTCTGTTTGTTTTAGAGGAGAGGGATGTTCATTTCTGAACTGCTGATCCAAGAATTAGCAGTTGTCTTGGGGACGTCGGAACAGGGTTCTTGCACTAGCACCCCATTCCCTGCCCATGGCCTTCCTGCTTGAAGGGACCACAAGACCTGGAGGGAAACATGCCTGAAGGCTCATGGAAACTTTTTTCCTAAGGACTTGGTATTGCATTAGTATTGTGTGTTATTACTGTTAATTAAGTTTATTTTCATTGATTGAGGATGCATAGAGAAGATTTGATACTTTGCAAAGTTTTCCAATAAGAGTGTGATTGCCACCAACAAAATTGTTAGCTACAAGGGGACTAAGGTGCATCCCTTTGCTTGCTAGGGACATAAACCACCTTGGAAACATTGATTACAAAATACTATGTTCTGTGTCGGTTATTTTGGTCCTCAGAGTATGAGTAATGCATGATATTAAAATCAGATGGTTTTGTCGTATGTTCTTATTTCCTGGTATATTTCTGTTGTAGAGAAGGTGGGGGGAAAAGCTGCAGTCTGTGTGAAGAACGTAGGGTAACATGGCATTGTTTGCATGCAGAATAACATTGTCTACATTAAACTTGCTCACAAACTCATGAAATAAATTAAACCATAATGTTCTTCATGTCAACACTATTTTTGTAGCTCAACTGGCAGAGCATTCTGGTTATCTGTGTGAACTAAGTTATGTTGCTACTTTACTTTTAAAATCATTACTTGTTGTCTTTACTTTTAAAATCATTACTCTGCAGCCTGTCGGTAATCTAAACTGTAGTGAGCAAACTGTCTGCAGCTTGAGCAGTTGAAAACTGAACTTCAGGTATCCAAGGCATAGTCTTACATTTTAGAACAATCTCCAGTGGTGGAGGAAAACAGAAGTCAATCCTGGAAAAWAAAAAGGGAGTTTAGCATAAACTGCAACTTTTCCTTACCCTTTATAAAGAAGACACCAACAGAAATCAAGTTGGTTGACTATTGAAATCTGTAATAGTTGGAAAGATCATGACCTATGTGTCATCTCTCTGAAATTTGGATGGTGATAATTCACATTTATTGAAATTGCACCTCTAAAATAGAGGGTTTTTTTTGTAGTGAGGTGTTTTATAACACTAGAGATTTAGATATTTGCAGATTAGTTTGACTCCAGGAGGAGGTACCATTTTTTAATTGCTTCATAATGAGACTTTAGTTTACTAACCAGGTATCAATTGTATTTCTAAGAAAAAGGAAATGATAGGATTTCATTGGACAACGGCATTTTMCCTCTTGTTATCAGAAATATTAAAAATGCCTAGAAAATGCTACTTCACCAAAAAAACACCCTCTTGTTTTGTTTTTGTGAATACTTTGGAACAAAAAAAAATTTCTCCTTTTGCAATAAAACTTCATTTCTGAAAATACCCTAGTAGGTTCTGATTATTTGGTTGTTCAGCATTGGGATTTTTTCAATTTGTCTTAGTTGAATGCCACCACAAATGAACTTCCCCTTAAGGGAAGCACCCGTAGGTGTGTTACCTCGTTTCTGCTTGACCCTTGGACTGTTCYTTTTTTAATTGTAAGCCAACATCCTGAGATTTAGAGGGAGTTAAAGTCCTACAGATGTATTACTATATACTTGCATGATAYTACATCATGTGCAAACTTTTGTGAGTTGGATTCTGTGCGTGTGATATTTGTTTATGCGCTTTTTGATTGGAAGAGTTTTATCTTAAATTACTATCTCCTTTTCAAAAGACAAAGAATAGAAGTATGTGTGAGGATATTCCACAAAAATTGTCATTAGCAGTAATTATTATAGCTCTGTGGTTCATTTTACCCACATCTTGAAACTTGATTTTTGGATTTGGTATCAGAAAGCATACACGAAGTACCAACCTGTCCAAAGTTCCCTGTGTCGGTTCTTGTTTGCTTCTCTAGGTGTGGCTCCCATGCGCTCACCTTGCAGAGTGTGCATGTGCACCTGAGTGCASATTATGCAACGTGAAAGCACGAAGCAGCAAAGACTCAGAATCACCATYTCAGAAGTGAGATATGTGAGATTAAGGTTTTTAGTGCTGTTGAGAACACTTTAGTATGCTTTTTTGAGACAAGCAGCAATATAATGCGGTGAATGTGTAGTGTATCCTTCAGCTTCCTCCTGCCCGTGTCATGTAATCCTTTTCTTGGTGTATTTTCTCCCTTCCTCTCCAGCTTCCTTTCTCGCACACCAAAGTGCATGTGCTTGAACTCTGTCAAAGTTCATACAAAAGTTTATACCAAAAAAGGCATTATACAAGTAATACACAAAGTAAAAAWTCTAAAGATTCAATTTAAAAACATTGAAAAAGAAGTCTGAGGCTCTTAATTTTCTTCTTGTGCTAAATTGTGGGGATTTCTGCCATTAATGCACATGTAGTTTAATTCATTTGTTCACAAATAGAAGAGCCAGCCTAGAAGAGACTGCTGTTATTAAACAGTTGGCTGTGAACTGAGCTGTAGGAAATGAGGCATTTSTGAGTCTGGGGCTCTGGTGAAATGAAAAGGTGATACCTGCTTTCTTGGCAGAGTTGGGGAAAATAAACTTGAAGTGGGGAAATCTACACTAGTGAGATCAACTGTCTTGGGTTTTAGAGCAAAGTTGCGCTGGGTGCTCATGAGCAGACTATCCCCACTCACTGCGTGCAAGTTTTATGTTTTTTCTTTTATTCTGAGTTACCACTTMATATGCTGGTCAGATGCCTTGCAGAGGAACAGCTTATGACAATGGAGCTGCTTATCTGGGGAGCCATTAGCTGAAAACCTTATTTGTTGAAAAAAAGCTTCTCTTCCTGCAATAGTTGTCTGATTTCTTATTGTAGTCAGTGGTAGGRTTAACCATTATGGTCTGCCATTTGTGGAAAAAGAACATAAGAGGAGGGAAATGGAGAGATAAAATTGTAACTTTCCCCTATGATTTAACTGGAAATCTATGATAAAATAGTATGCATAATGATTGCTAGAAAAAGGCCTATGGCAAGCACAAAAAAAGTTACGATAAGAGATAGTATTGTTGAAATAAAAGGATTTAATGTTTGCTGGAACATGAGTGCAACTAAAATAGGTGTATGGCATTTCTATATGCATAGAAACGGTGTGTTGGCTTTATTTATGTTTCTCTTAAACAAGGTGAGAAGAGTGGAGGAGAGTCCTGGTCAGCGTAKTGGGTAACTAGTCCTGACTAGCGCAGCCTTACAGGGCTTAGCTGCTTCTACTGCTTMGCAACTTAGATGCCAAGTTTCAACTTAGTGTTTCTCTGACCCGTTATGAAGTAATTATAGCAAGCAAACAAAATGTAAAGCTTTTTAATGTTTCCATTATTGATCTTTGTTAATTGTTATTTTTATCAAGTTGTTTCATCTAATTTAAGTTGAGAGCTTCTTTGCTTCTTGTAGTATATTCTGTATTATTGTAATTGCACATTATAAGATCTTGTAAATCTTCCTTCCTGTTCCTAAAACCAGAATTTCAGCCTTCATTTGGAATTCATACCTTATCACTAAATCTTGTGGCCATTTAAAGTGCAATTTCTGTAATGAATGCAAATCAACTTAAAAGCTGGAGTGTGAGTTTTGTGGATTTTGGTTTTCTTAATAGGATGTTCTTGATTCTATTATCCTATGTGTAGTAATAATTTAATGTTTATAATTCAATATTTATTAATGGCAATTGCCCCTTGAATACCAAGGCAAATGTAAGGATGATGAAGGTTACTAATTTGATTTGGAAGCTCTAAACAATAATTGTATCTTCTCTGATCTTTAGAATAAAAGATGCTTTGCCAAGTCAGTGTTTGGGACCTTTTCCTAACAGCATTCTCTGTTGACTACTGTATATGGGATATTGAAAATGTGCCCTAAATTGGAAGATTTTTGAATTCAGGAAAAACAAAACCCAATTGCTGTCAGTATTCTTGYTAACATAAGTATCTTCATCAAATGATAAAGGCAGATAATTAGCTTGCTTGCTCCCAGTAATGGGATTGAAAACCATTCCTTCACTGGTTTCTCAAGTCCATTGCCTCGCGGAGAGGAGTAACAAGCCCGTTGTGTGTGACTTTGTCTGCAGGGTGGAGAACGCCTGCACCAAGCTTGTTCGGGCGGCCCAGATGCTCCAGGCGGATCCTTATTCCGTCCCAGCTCGTGACTATCTCATTGATGGATCGAGGGGCATCCTCTCGGGAACGTCAGACTTGCTTCTGACATTCGACGAGGCTGAGGTGGGTTTCCCAGCGCAGCTCCTGATGGTGCCGCTGCTGCTGTCTCCAATTAACCCGATGAGCTAATGTGAACTGTTCCATAGAGCTGAATGTCAGTTTTGACTGTTACCTTGTTTTGTTGTTCTTTTTTATCTGTTAAAAGAAATTCGACTTGCATTTTGTTAAGGGTACCTTTGTACGATACAATGGTATGCTTTGTGTCCCTGGTCACTCTGAAAGGGCCAGATTCTGTCAATACTGTCTTGCATTTTCCTGCCATTTTTCTGTCTTGCCTTCACTCTGCCCATAACTGAGCCTTACATTTTCCATATCCCTTAACTCAAAAGCCCTAGACTACTTCCTAGCCTTCCTGGCTGTATTGGCTTGGCCCCATTAGCTGTAACAATGCAAGTGGCCTGGTAAAGGGGCCAGTTATATGCAGGTACTTGTGGCTGGCTGATCAGCTAGGAGGATGCATTTTGGTAAAGGTTAACAGTTGTTGCATTTGGGCTGCTGCAGAAGCCAGAGAAGTGGCTCAGAGGGGGTACTGTTTGTAGCATCTCAAATGAAACAGGCAAAACACACAAGCAAAGTTAAACTTTTTTTTTAGTCTTGTGATCCTCTTACTGGGAATATGAAATCTGTGAGGTCTTCTGCTTTTCTTAATACAAAGAATTCTGCTTTTCTTAATACAATTCAAATATCGTGCCTATAAGAGAGAATGAAGCTAGTACTATTAGAGCTGCTGGTAACTCTGAATTTGACCTGTGCAACAGCCTGTTAATCTGAAATGATTGCATAACTCTTGCTGCTGCTCTGTGTAGCCTCACAGAGCATTGTTGTGTCTTGTGGTGCTGTTAATATGTTCCTCTGAAATGAGGATAATTCCATGGGACTTACCTAAATCAGTAGTGCCAGAGGTATTTTACATGTTTAAGTGATACTGTCAAGTGTTAAAGGACATGCTAGGAAGTGAGCTTGATGGCATTTAATCTCCCTGCTTTCAGTGTTTAGAAAAGGCATTGACTTTTATGGAGCTAATGCTTCCTTRGACTCTGTTCTGACACTGCATGTTAAAAGAAAATTTTTGCTCATGAATGATTGGCTTTTCACAAAGAGGAACCTGACGTGTACTCCTTACTGTACTTCAAGATAAGCTAACATTGGGACAAAAATAAGTGATTTCTAGAAGAAATCAAGAGTTAGGAAATKACAAGTTAGGAAGACTGAGCATTGTATGTGGCTAATGTGAATTAAATGTTAAAAAAAAAGTTATTCTTCAATGGGAATTGTATCTGTGCTGTTGGAAATGCAGCTCAGGGTGCAAGAAGAGGAGGGGTTAACCATTTGACTCACCAAAGTCTATTGTGGCTTTCAGCATGAACTAGAAAAGTAAAAATCAACAGCTAAGGCAGAAATCCATAGATGAATAAACTACATATTTTCATAGACAGATTGTCCCMAAAAAACTGAGTCCCCTTCCAACTGCAATGTTGGATACTTTTGATGTATTTTTTTCCATATGTAAAGCTGTGTGGCGGTTAATATATTCTTTGAAAGTTCTGAGTCTGCTTTCCCTGTGTCTTCCTTTGTGATTTAACTTGTGTTTTTATTGATTAAAATGCAATGACAAATTTTGAGTCAGGCATGCCTGTATACTTAAGTGCACTTTATTTCTTTTTTCACTTGCTATCCTTCAGTTATGCAAGGTGAAAACAGTGAAAGGAGGCTTTTGCATTGGTGATGAGTAGTGGAATGCTGATTAAATTGAGTCTTTATTAATACAGCATTCTTAAGTAATTAAGTTTTGGGTCGCCTAATGAACATTGCCAACCTGTATGATTGCCCAAACATCATGTGAGCAAATGCTGTAMATATGCTGTTCTAATGATAGACTTGCATTTCTAATTCAAGTATCATTTGGCTTCATCTAATAAATGATGGAATGTTCCTTTTTTAGGTCCGTAAAATCATCCGTGTCTGCAAAGGAATTTTGGAATATCTGACTGTGGCGGAAGTAGTAGAAACTATGGAGGATTTGGTGACATACACAAAGAATCTAGGGCCAGGTTTGATTTGCTGCAGTATATCATAAACATATTAAGTGTAGTCTCTTTTCCCTCATTCTTTTTTCTTTTTTATTCTGTCCTATCCCAGCCAAGTTTAAAGTGTTTAGACCTTGYTAAAGCAGTTTCTTTGAAAACTTTTGGAGGTGTTTTAAACTACTGTCTTCTGATACACATTCTCAAGAGTGCAGAAGAGTCAAGATATGTGCTATTTGGGCAATATTTACTGCAGTTTTTCCACACTACATTGTGTGGAAAATAAGCGTGCACTTGCATGAACAAAATACAATTTGAAAGAGATGCAATTAAGCATTCATGGCTAAAGTTTGTTAAGACTTCAGCATTTTTGTACTGAGATGGTTAGGCCTAACAGCAGTTTCTTGGAGTCATCTAAGCCAAACACTCTACATAAACATCTTACTGGGGATGCAGAACTAGCACTCATGCAGTAGAATGCAAAAGCTCAGCTGTTATCCTAATCCTTTTCCTTCATTATTTGGTGATCCTTCACTACTTGTTACTTTGCCATGCTACATCACACYGTCTTTCACTGGTGGAAATAAGTGATTGATAAGTGAAGCACTTCTGATACACCTGCCTTTAATCTCCCAGTCATCTTCTGTGTCCAGTGTTTTAGATTTAGCAAGCGTTAAAATAGATTATAGAATGCTTTTGTTAAATAATACTTAAAATGTAGGTGTTGTGGTGAAAATGGAGAATATTGGGGTTGAAATACAGTTGAGCTTAAATATGTTAGAACTGGAGCAGGAATTCAATTAATGTATTGCTGTTTGACAGCAGCTTATATATATATATTTGTGTTGTGTATTATATATATGCATGCATACATATATATGTTTATAAGAATACATATATATATAACATAAGAATAATTAGCTCTTAAAGAAATTTGGATGCTTAGACTAGAAGCTGTCCTTTTCACACAGCATGTTTAACCTTCTTGATATATTTGGAAATTACATTGCTTAACATATGCAGATAGGTTTATATGCATGCAGTTTAAGTTCCATATGAAAGTAGAGTGTTTTAATTTATTTTATATTCTGCAAGAAATTACTTTTAACATCTCRTTTCCTTTTGGAAAGGAAACAATGAAGCCAAAAAGGCAACCATCTCATTCCATGAAATYGATTGTTTTATTTGGTGTATGCAATTTTAATTTTTATGTAGTCATAATCCTCTGTCTTGAAAATAGAGGTTTTCCTGAGCTTCTAATTACTCTATTTGATTCAGACAAAGCAGTTGAGACTTGTCATTGCACCTCTCTGACATAATTTGTTGTTCCATGTTTATGATGGAGGTAATAAATATTTGACAAGTATCTTCTCAGTCAGCAATGAGATTTAGATTTGTGCCTGTGTCCCCAAATGAGCTTTTCATACTCAAACTCATACTGGTCTGGATACATAGCTAGTCCTGTGCTTCTGGCATGCTCTAAAAGCCTTGTCTTTGTCTGAATTAAATGCCACTTAACACTTAGAGTCCTAGTTCATGAAACATTGCCATTTTATGTAATCAGTCCTTCTTCCCTTCAGTTATCAATGAACATCTGATACTACTATCAGCTTAAGGGCTATGTGAAGATACAGGAATATGAGTGTGTGTACTTAATTAACTGTTACATGTTTTAAGTTGCAGTAAGAGAGGAATATGAATATCTTTTGGGAATTTGACTGCTCTAAAATGAGCATGCTTTTGCACAACATGCCAATCTATGCTGGCAGTGTAGTATTCCTTTTTTTTTTTTTAATCGACATTAAAGCATAGTTAACCTTTTGCTGGGCTGGTTTAAGCTTCTAAACTAGCAGAAAGATAACTTGTCATGAGTATAGAACTGTTTTCTAGCAGTTCTGTACCCTCTGGAAGGGAGGAAGTGAGGGGAAGCTATGGAGCACCAATTTAAGTTAGCTTAAMTTTTGATTGAGCTGTGCCCAAAATTTCCACATGTGTTACATGATAAACATCAACCATCTTAGTTSTTGAAGACATTTGTAGTCTAGAATAAATTTGTTTTTTCATTCACCTTTATAGATCACRGAAATACTGCCAGTAGAATGTTCTTTAAAGAAGCAAAATAGATAGTTTTTGATTTGTATCCTGTGAAACCTCAAGACAAAATCTTTGAAGGAAAAAAAATACATCCTTTTCCTGTCACTCACACTGTGGGGCTTTGATCAAGTCTTAAAAGAACAAAAGCAAAAACTTTGTAAATTAATGTGACTTAATGCCTGAAGGGTTTATAAGAACACATTTGTGTATTCCTGTTTTTTCTCTGGGATTTGAAATCAGTTTTAAATCTCTATCATTTGAGACTTTTATTCTACCTTAACTTGCATCTGGAATGCAGTTTGTTATAGGTGCAAGTACARAAGTTCCAAACTTAAATGTATTTGTCTTGAATGTTGTTCCTGTTTAGAAAGCTCAACTTAATATTCATTTCTTCATGTATGACTATGCTTAATTACTTCAATCCTTAGGAATGACAAAGATGGCCAAAATGATTGACGAGAGACAGCAGGAATTAACGCACCAGGAACATAGGGTTATGCTGGTGAATTCCATGAATACTGTGAAGGAGCTATTGCCAGTACTTATTTCAGGTATTTTCTGCTTTTAATTTCTCATAGCACTCTGGATCTGTGTCTTTCTAAACTGAAGTATCARTCTCTTGTGTTTGCTGGAAATAGCAGCTTTGGCATTGCTTCTGCACTGATGGCAAGTAGCTGTATGACACGGTTCATGACTCAGTGAGGACACGGTGCAAGTGCAGTGCTGCTCACTGTATGTTCTGCACACCTGACATTAGAATGACAAGTTATCTAATGGTACATCATTAACGGCAGGTGTAGTGTGGTGCATTGATTGGATTTACTGATTTCTTTTAAAYGGTGGCTTGCTTTCTTGATAGTGAACACTTAAATTGTGCTGAAGGATAAATTAGAACTTGCATTAATGTCACCTTGTAAGCACAGTGAGGGTTGAGGCTGCTCTGCTAGGGCACCCAGCTGCTGAGCATGGGGTCCTAGAGGGGTGCCCTGCAGCGGCTCCTGCCGCTGTGCTGCGCCGTGCTCATTGACAGGGCCATAATGGTCCTGCTGGCAGCCTCGCTCCCTTTTATGTGGAGCTGCTGTGCCGAGCCATCCATGTCTAGGCAGGCACAGGAGGTGCCAGCCTGGCYGGGCTGCGGGACGTGCTTGGGGCTGGACGTGGAGCGAGTTCCTYGGACCAGAGCAGTTTCTTAATCAAATGAGGACAGTCATCTCTGCCCTGCCCTGATTTTGACTTGTTTAATAGTTGTAAATAGGATATCTGCATACATTTCCCTGGCTCTTTTCTTGGCATACATCTCATTTTGAGGAAGAACAAATCATGCAAATATAATGCCAGTTGAGGGGGAAAGAAAAATCAAATTAAGCTCAGAATTCACACAAATCATGCAAATATAATGCCAGTTGAGGGGGAAAGAAAAATCAAATTAAGCTCAGAATTCACCCAATTGGGAAGTGGGTGTGTTGCTGGTGTGTCTAAGCTTGACTTCTGTCTGTTGGGGGTTGTTCTGGGCCCCTGTTAGCTGTCTTCAGCTGCTGCTTATTTGCCAAAGGCTGATAGTTAATGCTGTGAATGGGGGATGTTTGATAGCTGTGATGAACTGTACATAAGCTAAAGTGAGATACAGCTATAATCAGGTTCTCAGGAATAATAACGGAGAAATAGGAATAATAGTAACTCAGATCACAGATAACATAAAAGTAAATGGTCACCAGTGTTGTAAATCTAGTTGAAAAACAAATGAATAAAATAAAATACATGAAACGTAATTAATGAATTAAAATAAATTACATGAAATAAAAGGTGAAGTTTGGATGGTTTGTGGATTCTACTGCACTAAACCACTGCTAGAGCAGCAGTGAGATGCTAATGCCATTATGTGCAGAATGTACCAGCAATCAGGCATAAACTCCCCTAGYATGTGCAGAAAGCTATGTTGCTATATTTAACAATGTTAACTGCCAAGTAGGAACATGMCTGGGACAAGAAATCAACAGTCAGTAGCAGACTTGATTTCTTTATCTGTGATATTGATAAAAATACTGGTTTAGATAGAGTAGTAATGATGAGGAAAAAAAAGCAGGGGGTGGGAAATACAGATGGCTGTAGCTACAATCATGTTTTGATTAACACTGCCAATGCAAAATGAAATTTACTGTGCATGTGGTAGGGGATCCCTTCAAATATTGAATGTATTGTGTAGATTGTTCTAATCTATGTTCCATGTTCRCAGCTATGAAGATATTTGTAACCACAAAAAATTCTAAAAGCCATGGAATAGAAGAGGCCTTGAAAAATCGCAATTTCACAGTAGAGAAAATGAGTGCTGAGATAAATGAAATAATCCGAGTCTTACAACTCACTTCCTGGGATGAAGATGCCTGGGCCAGTAAGGTATGTTTCACATCTCCCTTTCAYGTACTCTGAAATCCTTGTAAATTGGTGTTTTTGAGAATGTTGACATACATGTGTGTTTATCAGTTTTGCAGCACTGTGCAGTCACACCRTATAAGCTTTTTAAGGTTAGAGAACATTTTCTGATTTGTTCAGAGAATTTTTACTCTTTGAACAAAACATGTTCAGACACRATTGTCTTAGCTTTTTATCAACATTAACTCTTGAATAGCCAATTTAAAGGAATGTAGCTCTGAAGGTGTCTTACTGGRTTTTTGGAACTGAGTGGTTACCCAAAAGACTTAGAATTCTTCATGCTTTGRTTTTGGCTTGATTAGGAAATCATGGAAGACAATGCATGTCTCCAGGTGTTCCTTGTCACCTTGCAACCTGATACCTCACAGAGCAGCATTAAGTTTGTTCTGTACCTCACACTAATCCTGTAAATAGGCACCTGTAGCAAGACTACCTGTGATTTTTTTCTGCCTAGAAGATAGGAAAGTTAGACTGCAGTCACTTGTTATGCAGAAAACCTAAAGTTAATAAGTTTTAGTAATGTGGGAGAGGCTTACTTTTCCCCTGTTTTTGATTTGAGTATGGAAGTAAATTTCAGGTGTATGTTTGTCACTCATCTAAACAAATAAATCAAGTGCCTAGGATCGAGCAGCTTTTTAGGATGAGAATGAACTGAATGAGGCCTGTGCTGCTGCAGCGTGGACAGTGTTGGTTCCTTGTGACCCCGTGTTAAGTTGTGGCTGCTGCTGCTTGCCTGGAAGGCTCATGAGATGCTCTTAAACGATGCTCCCTGAACAGAGGGGGAATAGGTGTCAGATCTGTATGTTACACACCATAAAGCTGCCTATGATGGGCCAGCTGAGCAAAGTGCTGTCATGGACGTATGAGTAAATGCGGTATAGATGACTTTCCTGCCCGTTTAGTCAACACATTGATGTATATTGCTAGTACCTTGATGTACATTTTTTAAGGGTTAGTACTCCAAATGAATAACCAAATATATTCAATGAAAGTGAGACCTGATGTTGGACTTAACCCAAACTTCTTACAGAAAACCTAACACTGATATGATCAATTAAAATCACTTTGGCCTCTATTGTTTGCCACTTGACCTTTAGTTTGCCTTTTGAGTTATTTTGACACTATCACTTCCTTATTATGACCACTTTATGCATCTTTGTTTTTGTTCTCCTGTTTCTTACTTTCTCACCTTTAGAAGGTAAGCTTTCTTCCACACCCTACACCTCCAGTTTGTACTAAAACAAGCATGTCTGGGATTTTGTGCTGTGTGCAGGCCGTGTGCTGTGTGACTCTTCTGTGTGCCAGCTGTGCCACCATACTTGTGTATATGCACATAGAAGTTTTAAAGGATCTGAATAGCTCTGTCTAGACACACGTGGAATTGGCTGTCACTGAGTGGCAATGGCAAACTGAACCACAACGAGACTTTCAGACACTGAATAGAGCCAGCCCAAGGTTTTAGAGCATGCTCCTCCTGAATGCTGCTGGATTATGTTACTAGTCGCTGTAACTACAAATAAAAAGAGCCAGTCATGCAGGCACAGGCTTTCTACAGGCCCAGGAAGGTTTATTAAATCAGGAGTTTTGTCTGTTCTATAGCATTTCATCAGCCCCTTTCTTGCAATATATCAGGCCAAATAGTTCATGCTCTCAGGCTTAGACCTAAAGCCTGAAATTCATGAGCATGGTTTTAAATTCATTTTTTATTACTGAATTTAATCCTTCCTGCATCTTGCTACATTCTGGTGCAATTGATTCACAATCAATCTGGAAGTCTTCATGGTAGGAAATGGTTGTATTATAAAAAGTTGTTAAGCTAGGCTTAGAAAAGTCTTCTATTTCTAACAAAAGCGACTACCACAGATTTCCTTAAAATTACTGGCATGTTAATAATATCTGCAAATGGAGAATGTTAGCTATTAGACTYAATGCATTAAGTATGTTGTGTGGGCAAGTGTATCAAAGTATTGTTCTCAGAATGAAGGGAATTATTCTCAATTGCAGCCTGACTTTTCAGAATTAGGGTGCTCTGATCTGGAGCTGTAGCGCTCTTCATTAACCACATATTAAAATGTTTGTGGTGTAAAGTGTTCTGAGTGCAAAATACAGTAGTTGGGAGAAGTTGGAGCCAATTTTCTGATGCCYGTGTATTTTGGACCTTTTTCCCTATATAGTTTTTATATGTTGATTTTTTTATCTGAAAGAGAGAAGGAGTTGTTAATTTTAAAATGACATTTCTGTTGCGTGCAATTTATGCCTGACCATCAAAGGAAAGATTTTTTTCTTATGCTTTCCTGAGCAAAGACAGGTCTGTTTGGGAACAGACTGACTTGAATTTTGGCTGGATAATACATGCTGCTCTTGATGTTGGGACTTAGTTTAAGTGTGTTATTCTTTCCTTTATTGTGTACGCATACAAATATCGTAAAATCTGCATAGGTGTAATGGAGGAGGAATAGCTGTAGGCTTTTTCCTGTCAAAGCTGTTCTATCAGATTGTCCTTAGAATGGGAAGTGTGCCGTACTGTTATAGATGGCAATAATACCTACTTGCACCAAAAAAAGACATTTTTGGAAAGAAGTGTGGTAATTTATAGCTGAAATACAGATCTCTGCTAAAATCTTTTACATTTTTAAAATAACTGTAGTAGTTTCCTTTTACAGTTTTGTTTCATTTCAGATTTCATTTWACAGAGAAATCCAACTTTCTCTTTGGTATATTGTTAACTGTGTTCCACATTTTAAAAAATGAATCTTCTATTYGCACGGTAGCGAAGSGGGTTAAAAGTTGTTGGAGGCTGAGAAGTATCTAGGAGCTTGCAGGCCTGGCCCGGCTGGTGACTGAGCTCTCTGTTCTGCCAGGAGGCTGCCTTTCCCTATTTCCTTCAGCATTCCCTTCTTTGGTAATGAAATGCAGACGTCGCTAGTCGAGACCACTCAATTGAGTCAGTGATTGTATTTTATAGCTAACGAAGGATTGTGTTGGATTTCTCCATTTCCTTTTCAAGGCACTGCCAGTGCCACCTGCTGTATGAATAACCTCCAAGTTCTTCATAGTGGTAGAAGTGGCCAGTAAAGTAGCTGGAGAAAATGCTCATTTCCCTTAGGAACTGGCTTGCAAAAAGGCTGTTTACTCGTTTGCCTTCAGGGAGTGTTGCCCTAGGTATTTAACTGTTTTTGTTACTTTCAAAAGGCAGTAGTACTGATTTTGCGCCTTTTACCAGCTAGATGTGGGGAAAAAAGAAGGGGAAAGCAGACTTTGCAGAGAGAACTATACTAAATGACTTGAGTGATAGCTGTGAATATTTCTTTCCTTGCTCATGATGGTTCTGGCAAGTCCCAGATGGTCAAGTCTTTAAAATATACAGCTGTTCACAAAAAGACAGCATGCTTGAAGAGCTATAGAAATCACTAATATCAAGACTTGGTTCATCTGTCATGATCTTGGCAACAAGATCATGAACAAGTGTGTGTGATTTTAATTTTATTTTTTAATTGAAAGCTAATTCCAACTTGGTRTTTAAAAGTCTCGATCAGTAGGCAAGTCCAGACCTGACACAAAATTGAGGTGGTAGCAGAGTGAAATAATAAGAGCAGTTCCAGGAAGCCCTGTTAAGGATGTCTTTGCTTGGTCTATTTAAAAACTCCTCCTGTCAAGCTGAAATGCCAGCTCCTTACCAGGCTAAAGTTGGAAGGAACTCCTTGCCTTGGCAGTTGGGGCTGTAAAGATGAGAGATCTGTGCTTTAGGAGCTGTTCTGAAACACTTTGACTGCCACACTGGGATTTTAGCAGATTTTTCCTCGCTAAAGTAAGTGAGGGGAATTGGGCTTGGCAAACCACCTGAGCATCAGTGAGGAGCCACGTGGGACAGCAAGGCTTGCACTGCAGAGCATGGTGTAGCTGCACAACCTTCTCATGATGGGAGAGATGGAACCTCTGTGGCTTGGGTAGGGTWGGCAGTCATGAAATCCTAAATGTAAAAGGTAGCTTTGGTTCTGCCCCTTGTGTGAGTCTTAGATTAAGAAGCTTTTATCTCATTTTGCTGCAGCTCTGCATGTAGCAGGGACCCATACATCATCCATGCTTGGGCAAGAAGGAAGAGGACTTGGCACCTCCACTTGTCCTCTCTGGTCTTTTTCCAGCCTTGCTCTCCCATACCTGGTATCTCATCAATACACTCAGCAACATCTGTCACTTTTTTAAAGTCAGCTTTGAAATTATTAATGGTGCAGCTGTGTCTCYACTCTTGTCAGAGTTATCTCCCCCCATACGTGTTACTTGTTCTTGATGCCTGGAGCAGGACCCACTCTCAGAGYTGCATGTGGACAGTCTAACTCCGTTAATAGTGCAATATTCAGGCTTCCCTTCAGCTGTTTACAAAAGAGCTCCTTTGGCCGTGCCCTAGCTCTTCACTTAAGGTACTTGCTGCTCTGACCATCTTTACATTTGTTTAAGATGTAAACTTCTGGCCTCTAGTGGAGAGCTGACATGGACAGTTAGGTGAGTGTGCAGGGAGATGAGAACTCCCTGCTGGTTTGGTCTCCTGGCAAAGATGTGCTAGATAAAGCAGGATAGAAGAAAATGAACTTGTCTGACACTCWTGGCAGCAAGGTTCTGAGTTCAATGCAAATGTGTTCATGTGGTTGGAAATTTGTAAAGACTCTGGGAAATATAGAAGAAGAAACTAACTGCAAGATGTGTGYTTACTAGAGCTTTGATTTCAGAAATTAAAACACTGATATATAAAGGGCTAGAAAAATCACTAAACTTGCATGCACATTTTCTGCATTTTGAGTGATGAAAGCGTCTGTCCTTGGACAGGAGTGACTCTGACCTGCTGGTTTGGAACCTGGTTTGGAGCTGCTTATCTGGGTGCGCTTCTGTAAGGAGAGGGTGCTTTGGAACTGTTCTGGCTGCTTTGGGTGTGAACTCTGTCTGTGCTTGGGTTTCTTGAGAATCATTGCGTTGTTTTCTTTTGCAAAGGACACTGAAGCCATGAAAAGAGCCTTGGCCTTAATAGATTCAAAGATGAACCAGGCAAAAGGGTGGCTGAGAGATCCAAATGCACCTCCAGGTAGTACTTAAAAATAATATATAATAAATTAAGAGTAAAATAGAGAAATATTTTGMTGTTTTAAAAGTCCAAATAATTGTACTGTGTAAGATAGAATTGMCTTTATGAATTGACTATGCAAGGTAGATCATTCTGAATGAGCATTTAGATATTCCTTTATTTAAAAATTGAAGATGAAGCAAATAATTTAGGGGCCTAATCATGTAGTAAGCTTTGCTTGTTTTAAGTTATCCAAGTAACTGTTTTAAATGGTATATATATTTCTCTTCCTTTGCATTCTACTAGTAAAAAGTAAAAAATAACTTGGAAAAGACATTGTAAATACTGTAACTGCAGATTTGTCATCTTGATATCAAGGTTTTGCCTTTCTATGCATCTTTATAGCTTATAAAACCAGCTGCAGGCCTATTCTGTTTATATGCTGAAAGGCCTTATAAGAAACGTTTCCTCTGAAATGGAAGCTAAATATGCAGTTGTAAATGTTGGAAGTGAATTACCTGTTCTTWTTAAACTGCTGCTTGTACTTTTGACCTCATCCCCCTTGCTGCACTCRGCTCCAGAAAGTTCAGGTCCTTGCAAAGCCTTCTGTTATTGACATTGACAATTAATGAAACAAACCCAAAAAATATTACTAGTTAAGGACAATGAAAAATGTAGCACTTGGTGCAAATCAGATCTTTCTGGATATTACTTGGAAATAATCTCATTTTTGTCATTGAGTGGTGGTTATTGCAGCACTTATTCTTTGAGCTGCTTTCATTATTCTCATTTCGTGGTGGGAACTGGTGCTTTGTGGATGGGAAGATGCCAATACCTGTATTGCTGGGGCATGTGGTGGGGGATGATTATGAGGAGAAATCATTTTTATCTACTTTGGTCAAGTATAAGTCACTTGCAAGTGGCTGAAGTTAAGGCTGAACCTTTCTACATTGCCTTCCCTTCTCACTCAGAGTGCATTAGAGATTCTGTAGTCGAGTCTTATACAGGAATTAATTTATAGCAGAATGAGCGAATGATTTGMAGCACGTAGCACGTGAGGCACAGTACTATATCTGTGCTGCACTGTTTCAGGAATCTTGTCCCATCGTAAGAAATAATCCACTTCATCCATGTCTTAAACTTTTGGATAAATCCACTCCTAAATTCGACCCCAATACAATCAGTGTRGCAGGCCAGGATGAGTTTCCTGATTATCAAAGAACATCTTGTTGGACATTTTACTGAGTGACTCCCTCTCTTAGGGGATGCTGGTGAGCAAGCAATAAGGCAGATCCTTGATGAAGCTGGAAAAGCTGGAGAACTGTGTGCAGGCAAGGAACGCAGAGAGATCCTGGGCACGTGCAGAACCCTGGGCCAAATGACTGATCAACTGGCTGATCTCCGAGCTAGGTAAAGCTAGGTGTTATTTATTAATTCTTATTTTACTGTTGTTGTTTTTGTTCCGTTGATGTGATGTGGCATGTGATCATTTCATTATCTTCTCATAAGAATAACTTGCTTTAATAATATATCCTTAGTAAATCCTTAGTTAGGGGATATGTTGGGACAATGATGAACAGAATTGCTGAGGTAGATGACTCTGTTTAAAATAAATGGCGCTCATATGAAAACAAGCATCTTTTCTGACTTAAACTGGAGAAATGAGCGAAATGAGCAAATGCCAAATATCTGAAGCTCTGAACAAATTGATTATTGAGTCCTGAGCTGAGTGTGTGCTGCTTTTTCTCCGTCTTGAGCAGAGGCCAGGGTGCCACACCGATGGCTATGCAGAAGGCGCAGCAGGTCTCGCAAGGGCTCGACTTGCTCACTGCCAAGGTGGAGAATGCAGCCCGCAAGTTGGAAGCCATGACAAACTCCAAGCAGGCAATTGCCAAGAAGATTGATGCTGCTCAGGTACTACTGGTTTAATAAATGCTGCAAAAAAAAAGGTTAAACTACTACTGTTAGGTCTGTTACGCTAAACTGCTGTAGACGTTTCCAAACGTAATGCAGTTACTCCTTAGGAAGAGAAGAGTTTTGATTTAACACAGGCGAATCTTAAAATTTTGTAACACTAATTTTGATATCTGTGTATTTTATTACAGCTTATGGCTTTTTGTTGTTTTTTTGTAAAACATTTTTCATTCTTAAAGCGTTTCAAGGATAAGAACTTAAAATGAGGAAGCATTCTGTTAATTCAGACATAAATTGATCTGATTTAAGGAAAAAGCAGAGGAGTTTCACACTGTGCAAGGGAAACTTCCTTAGCCTCTGTTTTGGGCATCCTGGTACAGATTTAGATCCTCATGCTTCTGATGGCAAAGAGCAAAAAGGTGTTTTTGTAACTTTCAGTGTGCTTCAATCTTCGGTCTATTACCTTGTCATAAAGATCATAATTATTAGCTAAGAAATTTTGTGTGTGTATGTATGTAGAATATAGATATCTTGTCCAAATATCTATAGAGATATATATCTATATATTCAGGTTACGAATTGGATAATAAAAACTTTTACAGAGAGCTCCATAAAGAAAGTTTCATAGTCCACAAGACCAACTGTCTTGATTTTTCTTTTAAAAGCTAAACTGCAGGTCTGAGACCTCTAGTTAAATGTTTCAGAAAAGATCACTGGCAAATGCTGGGGAGAKTAGGCTCACTTAGTTTCCTCTTATTTCTTGAAGTAAAACATCTGACAGATAGAACTTCAGGATATATAATGAAGAGGGTATTTTTTCCCCTCCAAAAAAAGTATTTTCTGCTTTGAAAGCTGTTTTAAGTCTTTAGAAATAATGTTGCTGTTCATCTTCACACCTATGCAACTTTTCTCTTAAGAATTGGCTGGCAGATCCTAATGGGGGCAGCGAAGGAGAAGAGCACATTCGGGGGATTATGGCTGAAGCAAGGAAAGTCGCAGAACTATGTGAAGAGCCCAAGGAAAGAGATGATATCCTGCGATCCTTGGGAGAAATCTCTGCTTTGACAGCCAAGCTATCAGATCTACGAAGACAGTATGTATTTACCACGGTTAATTTATTTCAGTTCTATTTTTCTGGGTGTTCAAAGTACAGACTAATCAAAATACTTTTTTTAACATTTAAACAACCCTTATAAAATTTAACATTTTAAAAGCTTAATGTCCCTCTAAGTATTTTAATCTAGCAAATGATTTCTACTAACAAGCTGTGGTTGTGATAGGTTCCCCCTATAGAAAATGTGAGGTAGAAGTGCACATCTAAAGTACTTTTTTTTGCTACTGCTTATAGAATSCTGGAAAGKTAAATGCAAGTCAAAGCCTCCTCCRTTGCATCCATTGCCTCCTTCATCAAAGCATTTCTGGTGATATGAAATCTTCTTTTTTTCTCTTTATACGAACAAATGTCATCACTGATTCTTTGTTAAGCAATTTACTACAAGAGAGGCTAGAATATATAGCACTTAAGTCATCATGAAACTCTAAGCTATTTAAAAGCATAGGCTTTAAGACCTGCAGAATAATCTATAACTGGGATTCCTTGCTTGGTTGCAAATGAGTTCGTAAGATGKCCATTAATGTGGGAAATAGGTCATATGTTAGGACTATCAGTGACATYAACATACCACATCAGTGTTGTGCTGAACACAAGTGCCACAGGTGCCCCAGTAGAAAAATGTGAGGTAGGGATGTGTGGGTAAATCTCAGAACAAATAATGCAGATCGGTCAGGTYTCAATTTTACTTTCTTGAGAAGGACTAAAAATTCCCTTCCTTGTGTTCCCCTCTGCCTCATAAATGAATTTTGGATTAAGTAATTTTTSACTGTGACTTTTCTTTCCCCTTCCTTTATCCTCAGTGGAAAAGGTGACTCCCCAGAGGCTCGTGCATTAGCTAAACAAATAGCAACATCCCTTCAGAACTTACAGTCCAAAACAAACAAGGCAGTAGCAAATACAAGGCCGGTTAAGGCAGCTGTCCATTTGGAAGGAAAGATTGAGCAAGCTCAAAGGTGGATAGACAATCCTACYGTTGATGATCGGGGAGTAGGTAAGTGTTTCTCCACACTTTATTGGAACTTTTCCCCACTTCCTTACCCATCCTTATTTTACCTATCCTTACCTCCTATTAGTAATTTTTGACTTCAGCTACTGTTCCTGAGAGGCATGCCATGCATAGGATCTCTTTGCTGATACTGTGTTCATAGCTGGTGCTCTATAGCCGTGTTCTAGTGCAATACTATTGAATCARGCTGGCCTTGATTCATTTGGTCTTAGGAAAAAGAAGAATTTTCTCAAAGAATGAGAAAATAGGTACAGCAGAGCAGGTGAACTTTAAACTCCTCTTTACTTGTTTCATCTTACAAATACATTGTTGCAGATTTGAATTTACATTTAATCCAGCAAATAGACAAATTTAGCTCATCAGAGAGGAGAAAAGCCATTATAACCATGGCTTAAAATGGCTTCAGTTTATGAGATTTTTACTTTTTCAGGGGAAAAAGCTGCTTGATTAAAATGATCTGGGAATTSAAGCCTGCTCTCAGTGGTCATATAGTTATGCCAGAACTTTCCAACTAGAAAGGATATACTTAAAAATGGAAGAACTCTGAAATGTCCTTTAGTTCCTGGTCCATCCAAGTTGTGCTCGTGGCTTTTGGATCTCCCGTGTCTAACTGCTGTGCGGCTTCTTGCACTGCAGGCCAGGCAGCAATTCGGGGGCTGGTCGCAGAAGGTCGTCGTTTGGCCAACGTCATGATGGGGCCTTATCGGCAAGACCTGCTGGCCAAGTGCGACCGCGTGGACCAGCTGGCTGCCCAGCTGGCCGACCTTGCAGCGCGAGGGGAGGGAGAGTCCCCCCAGGCCAGGGCAGTCGCTGCCCAGCTTCAGGACGCCCTGAAGGTAACAAGATCTKCCCTTTTGCACTGGAACACCAGCAGCACTGAACCATTGCACTGCTCCAGTTAAATGTGGAGAGGCTGTGCCTCTCCAGTTGCTGTGGAGAGGCTCTATTTTCTAGAGGTGCTTAAAGTAGACTCAGTTTTTGCAAGAAAATATATTGACATTTGAATAGAAACTCTTATTGCTAGTGTGTTTTGTAGTAATACTTTTTGTTTGCTTGTTTTTCAAGGATCTTAAAGCACGGATGCAAGAAGCAATGACCCAGGAGGTCTCTGATGTTTTCAGTGACACTACAACTCCCATTAAATTGTTAGCAGTAGCAGCCACTGCTCCTTCCGATGCTCCCAACAGGGAAGAGGTAAGCAGTTCTTTCCCCGTGTGAAATGTTTCCCATGATGTTGGTGTCATGTTGCCTTACAACATGTAAAATGCTGTGCAGGAATCACTAACATGGTGGATTGCATATCTCAACATATAAACCGATTAATATAGTCGGATTGATGCTAAGGTTCATCAGTCTGATCTGTTTTTTTGTTGTATAATCTTTTTCCTATACGTGAAGGCTATTGGCTCTATGGGAAGTATCTCAATTTGTGGTGGGCAACTCTGGCTAGTTGGTTTGAACATAATCAGAATGATTCCCAAGGCTTTAGGAAGTGAAGCTATGAAGCTTTACATAATGGAGAAGTAATGCTTGGGTCTAACCTGTTTTTCTCTGCTTACAACCAGGTGTTTGATGAAAGAGCAGCAAATTTTGAGAACCACGCTGCCAGGCTGGGAGCTACAGCAGAAAAAGCAGCTGCGGTTGGAACGGCCAACAAAAGCACYGTGGAAGGCATCCAGGCAACTGTGAAATCAGCCAGGGAACTTACCCCGCAGGTTGGCTTGCTCAGTGTCCTTGCTTGCTTAGGGCCAGGAAGGGACCTTGATGTTTTCTTCTGTGTCCTTCTGCTCTTAATACCRGCGGAGAACACAGTGCTGGCACCCTTGAAAGGAAAATGGCAAATGTTCTTTTATGCTATAAAGTAGAAAAAGCTGGTGAAATGGCATGTCTTATTCTTAAACTTCTAGACAAAAGCCACAGTGAATTTGTCCTAGCTACACAATTACTCTAAAGGGTAATGAACTATTTGAGTGGAAAATGCTCTTTAATTTTTCTCCAAAATAAGCCTTCTAGCATTTGTTCAATACTGAGACTATCCTTGGTGTTATGTTTCTTTTTAATGTTTTCCAATATTTTATTTAACTAAACAATTTTTGATGTATGATGTGCATGTAATGGAAGTTCCAGAAAACAATGTTTTTGGAAATGAATTCTAGAAGTACTGTAAATCTTAATGCAATTAAAAATTGATGAATTAGATTGAGGGTATTACAAGTGAGGAGCTAAACATCCAGTCCTGAAAGACAACTGTGTTTTCAAGAATATGTATAATGTTCTTAAGTACTGGTGTTTTCATAACTGAAAATGTTTTCCTTTSGCAGGTAGTATCAGCTGCCCGTATTCTCCTGAGAAATCCTGGRAATCAAGCTGCTTATGAGCATTTTGAGACTATGAAAAACCAATGGATTGATAATGTAGAAAAGATGACAGGTAAAATGGTCATTTCTGTTGAAAACTGTGCCTAACTGATAGGGTCCCATTCTGTTTGGATTGATAGAATATGCACAGAAGTAATGATTAATAGAATATAAATCATTTCAGAGAAATGAGAGCATGTACACTATAGCTCCAGAAATTTGTGTGTTGTACAGCATGTTCACATTGTTTCATAGATGTTAATTTTGAGCATTTGGTGGGGAGTGGACTAAATTGGTCTTTAGTTCCTGCTGGAGCAAAACAGCATCATCTTGTTCATTGTGCTTGCTGATTTGTAACAGTCTATCACTCTAGCAGCTAGAGTGGTTTTTATTCTTGTTTTGCTTTCAGCGTGACCTTGGTGTGCTGAATGAGGTCAAATAATTAAATGGGGGCAAGAAAATATATTCAAAATAATAGAAGAGCTTGGTGAAAGCAGTGAATGAAACCAAGCTACTGATCTCCTACTGAAAAATTGGAACAAATGCTTCAGCTCTTCTGAACTGTAGATCCTCCTGTATCAGGCTACTTTCCAAATACTTTGTTTGACTGTTGACTACCTCTTCCTTCAATCCCTTAACTGTTTTGTGGGCATCTTGAATGTACCTTGTCACTGTATATCACCCATAAGGAGAAGAAAGCACAGCTGGAGGGACCTTTCCTTTTGTATGAAAGGGAGAGGTGGCCAAAAAGTCCTGAATACRCATAAGGAAACTTGTTGGGAGGAGGAAGCTCTGCTGCATATACTTTGCATGCCAAATCTGGGGTCGAGCTGCCTTCCAGGGCAGAAGAGTTAAGAGCCCTCAATGTCCCTAGTGGGAGGAAGCCTCGATCAGCTATTCTGACCACGGTCAGTGTGCTGGAAGGCTCATGGAATCAGAAACAAAACTGCAGTAATACAGTTAGTCTAGTCCCCCTGTGCCCTGCTTGGAAATACTTATTTTTCTCATGGTAATTGGTCCCTAGAATACTGAATATCCCTTTCCACAGATCAGATTAATAATGTGTTAAATTTTTATCCTAGGATTGGTGGATGAAGCCATTGATACCAAGTCTCTGTTGGATGCATCCGAAGAGGCTATTAAGAAAGATCTTGATAAATGTAAAGTTGCCATGGCCAATATTCAGCCTCAGATGCTGGTAGCTGGTGCCACCAGCATTGCCAGGCGAGCAAACCGCATCCTCCTGGTTGCAAAACGGGAAGTTGAAAATTCCGAGGACCCTAAATTCCGGGAGGCTGTTAAAGCAGCCTCTGATGAGCTGAGCAAAACTATATCACCGATGGTAATGGATGCAAAAGCTGTGGCAGGAAACATTTCTGATCCTGGTAAGGATTTAATGAGCTGGTTTTGAATGCATWTCTTCGTGACTGTAAGTGCTAGGAAGCAGTCCTCGTTGTGTCCAGTTAACATGCATGCAATCTTGGTTTAAGCTTAAATCCCACAGAGGGAAATTGAGGTCACACTATTAACTGCTGGATCTTGCTCTTGTTAAACACAAAGAGGTGAAAAGGATTCAGTATTTTAGCCTCATGTGATTTCATGATCTTTACTAGTGGCAAATRCATGTTTTGGAAAATTGGCTGCATTGTACAATAAAGTATTGTAGATTTTTTTAGAATAAACACTGTCATGGGAACTATGTTATTCATAGTTACTATTTCTTAGTCTCACAACTAACATTTCAAACATTGAAATCCAGTGTAAAAGTAGTTTGTAACATGATTTCAGATATATATATGTGCAATCTGCACAATATTTTGTTGTGTAAATATTTTTGGGCTACTGTTGGTGTTTTAGATAACAAGAAATGCTAGGTTTTGTTGAAATTAAGATGAGATTTTTTTTCAGGTTTGCAGAAGAGTTTCTTAGATTCTGGATACAGAATCCTGGGAGCTGTAGCCAAAGTCAGAGAAGCCTTCCAGCCTCAGGAACCAGATTTTCCACCTCCTCCTCCAGACCTTGAGCAGCTTCATGTACGTGCAGCATAGTTTGTAACAGAATAGTCGATTACCACTGATAAAGTGTAAATTGAGCACTAAAATTACTGAAATATATTTTTATTTATTAGAAATAAAATGTGTTACCTGGCCAGTCATAYACAAACATCATGAAAAGAGAGGAAAGAGGAAGGACAAAAAAGAAAACAAACAAACCAAACTAAGAAAAGAGATTCCAAGATAAGACTGGTTCTCTTATAACAGAGAGCCCTTGGGAAAAACAGAAGGCGTGAACCACGATATGATCCCTGGCTTCATCTTTGTGCTGCTTCATTCCACTTAATAGCTTTTTTCCTCCTCTTCCTTAGCTGACGGATGAGCTCGCCCCTCCAAAACCACCACTGCCCGAAGGGGAGGTTCCCCCACCCAGGCCGCCGCCGCCTGAGGAGAAGGATGAAGAGTTCCCTGAGCAGAAGGCAGGAGAGGCCATCAACCAGCCCATGATGATGGCTGCTAGGCAGCTGCACGATGAGGCTCGCAAATGGTCTAGCAAGGTGAGAAATTGCTGCGTATRTGTCTTGGGTCAAAAGGAATTCTTTGTCAGGATCAGTGTTTTAATTCACTCCCGTCAGTTGTCTAATTTTCTCTTCTGGGCTTTGGCTAATACTTGTAATTTTGTATGTTTTGTAGCTGTCTGCTACCAAGCTGTATAGTAAACTGTAAATGTAATCTTGATAATTTTTTTGTCTATGAAAAAAAATGATGCTTTGCATAGGAGTCAAAGGCAGTGTGTGCAAATCTTCAGACAGTTTGAAAGATACAGAGTGCACTGTGAAGAGAAGGGCATTAATTTCTTTCAACCTTATAAATTTGCTAGGGCCAACTATGGCAGAGATATTTCATGCTTGAGTATTGAATAGCATATGCTTGAAATAATGTACTTATCCCAGACAGAAATAGTCTAGGTCCCTAAAATGTCTGGTTTTGCCCAACTTTAAACTGAAGGAGTTAAAAAACCTGATGTGTGCCTGGAAACRCCCTTACAGTGGTCCTGTGAAATCCTAGACAGCTTATAAAGGTGGACTTCAATATAGAATTAAGCAGTGTATGGACAGGATATATAGCATAGTGGTGGAGTAGTAAGAGTGAATATAAAAATACACTTGACGGTTGCTTTAATCTCTCTGGCTACCTTGGTGTAGCTGCCAGAAGAGGAAGGCCTGCAGAAGCTTTAAAGGGGCTGTAAAGTAAATGAGGCTCCTCTCTCCATGCTTTCTCAACTGGTAGTAGCAGAGATTGGACCAGCTATTAAAACTGTGGTAACAGGAGGAATTCAACTCTTAAAATCCTCAGTGAGCTACATGTAACCGTTGTGAGCCTTGGAGCTGCTAGCACGTTTTTGAACACACTTCTGCACAAATGCACGTGACTTCTCTGCTGAGGTATTTGTGGTCCTTGAAGCTGGTGTTGCCTGGAGAGCAACTGGTACTTGAGCCTTTCTGCACTGACAAACTGGCTGCTGAATTAACTGACTTTGCCAAGTCGGTTTTGATGTGACAGATACCAGCCCCAGGGCTCATGAGATGGTTTGTCTTAATTCTGGGAAGAGCTTAAAGTGACTTTGCAGTTAATGTGGTGCAGTTATGATCARAAGGTGATGGTATATAGATGGCCTGGTCTCAGTCCTATTTTGCAATGAATCCTACTTACTATCAGGTCCAAAAGCCTTCATTTTCTTCGAACTTGAGTGATAGGACAAAGTAGTCTGAAGTCTTTATTCTGGTTAATAAGTGCAAATGTAACTCATTTGCTTCTCTYGAGAGATGTTCTGCCTCTGGTAGCAATTGAGTAAGGATTTCTCTGAGCTTTGGCCTTGTGCAGGTCTTAAAGATCAGGATTTGGCTTTTAAAAACTCAATTTTTTCCTTCCTAGTTAGATGGTGAATTAAAAGCTAAATTTAAACAGCTGACAGAATTAACTTTAAATTTGTGTGTATTTAAAAAAATGTGTGCCCAATACGAAAGACTGTGGAAGTATAGATAAAATGCAAAAGGAATCTTGCAAATCAGTTTTGAAATTATTTTTCCTATTCTTCTGGATTTGACACATCAATTWTGATATTAAAGGGATACTATTGGCGTTTATTAGTCATCTCAGAAGGTAATTGTGAAGTTGAGATTCTTAACTTCTGCTGCCTTAAAGAGCTTTGGTATTGGAATTCCAGAGCAGGTAACTTAAAAATATACAGTAGGAAATAATTTTTTTTATGATATATATTCTACATTAGATAATGTAGTTATTGAAATAACTAGACTAAGTAGACTACAGTCTACGGATTGCCTCCTGATTGTAGAAGGAGCTGTAAGGTTCCTGTATTTGGATTATGAAACACTTTTTTCATTGCCCTTTGTCAATGTTTGTCAGTTTGTCAATGATGGCTTTTCCACACCTCACCGTTTTAATTTTAAAATAATTTTTGTAGGTAGTCATACTCTAAACCAAAATTATGGAGTTTTCAAAACTATKTCTGTAACTTCTCGAGCCACTTTGTTATTAGGTGGGGGAGGAAGAGGGACTGATGCCCAGTACTGCTGAGGAAGGTGGGTCAGATGAAGGATGGAGATGCAAGGTCCTGCTCATGCCAGATGGGAGCAGACTGTGTGCCAAATGGCTTCTGCTCTATGTGCCTGATGGTGTTACTCTACTGATTTTTCCTGTTTAATGCTTACGGAAGGGGAAGTACTTAGTCTGTTAAAATACTGCTGACATTCTTGATTTTGTAAAAGTTAAACTTGATTTTTCTTGTCTGCCTCTCTCAAGTTTTCRTCGCTGAATGGATGCTGGATTTCTCTGCACTCCTTTTTTTCCCCTCATGGAGTGCAAATCACACACTGTCAGTTGCTCTAGATTTTCCTGCCTTTTTTCTCATTTGGCTAATTCAGAGAATAAAATTTTCCTTTTTTGGTTAGGTTACTGCATAGAAATTGCCATTAGAAAGGAGGGGATATTTGTAAGCTTTGCATTTGAGACTTAAAAGATGTGTCTTGTCTAAAGATGAGTCAGTCTGGCGGTATATAAATRGTGTAACTTGTTTCTTCCAAATGTTTTGACCTTTGTTTTGGATGTTTTTCTATAAAAGGCCATATCTTAAGCAGAACAGCTTGAAAAGGCATACTTTTTATAAAGGATTGTTTGGTTGGTTTCACACTTTGTGATCTGAGAAGTGCACTTCGTAACTATAGAATATGTTTTAATGCTGCTGTATTCTAAGCACTTGTACTGTTGAACTATCACCTCTTTATATGATCTACCCTCAGCTCAATATATTTGCTTGAATCCTATTTTTTTTCTTTCCTCAAGGTAATGGATGCAACATGTCGTGGCAAAACAGTATAATATGCTTCATAATCCTCTTATTTTACTAACTTCATTTCAGTCTTTTTTTTACAAGCATTGTAATATTGCCAGCGTTCATGACATTCAGTATCACCTCCTCTTTTCTTAGCTGGTTTTGTTCTTTTCCRTGTTATCTGCAGCACCTCAGTCTTTACTTCTCCAGTCACTTGTCCCCCTCCTTTTATCCATGACAGAAAGCAGAGTGTCAGTGACTTCTCTGTGATGCTGCTCTGTGTCCTTGTTACCTGCGTGTGAAGCAGCTTCCACACACAGCTTTTTGTCTGCGCAAATACCATGATCATCAGCTGCTGTGCTTGCTCCTATCCAGTCAAAATGGCTTTCTTTAAAACAGAAACCCATTCATTTCATCCTTGTCTTGCCAGAAAAATGTTGTTCTGAAAATCAGCGCCTGCATTTTGCAGCTGTGTGTTAGTTGAAAATGTTGCTCCATCTTGGAACTGTAACTTCTTAATGTCCTTGGTAACTTTGGTTCACAGGTGAAATGTTTGTTTTGCTTTTGCTAATCTTGTAGACCCTCCTCTTCTCCCTCTGACTCTAAAGTTGTCCTGTCGTATCCTTAGAGGCCAAGAGGACGTTTGGTCACTAAAACAGCTCAGTTCATGCTCTTCAACCAAGTTCTGCTTCTCGTACTAACTGTCCCCTGTTTCTCCACCCTTGCTGCCACCTGCAAAGCCTGATGTGACTGTGATTAATGAAGCCGCAGAGGCTGGTGTAGATGTAGATGAGGAGGATGATGCAGATGTTGAATTCACTCTCCCCTCTGACACTGAAGATGATTACGAGCCTGAGCTGCTGTTAATGCCAACCAATCAGCCTGTTAACCAGCCCATTCTGGCCGCTGCTCAGTCTCTGCATCGGGAAGCAACCAAGTGGTCTAGTAAGGTACTCCTGAGTCTCCCCCGGGCGACCGCTCTGTGTGCATCGGCCATGGGGCAACGCTGGCACATTTGCATCACTCTTGAGCCCTGCAAGATCCCATGATTCGGAATGAATAAGCGTGTCTGCACTTCATCCTAAGGACTGAGAGTGGCTTCACGAGTCTGTTAGGTCTGTCTGTCAATGCTAGACTGAAGCTTGATTTGGTTCACTTATTAATATTGAGAGGCTTGGTCTCCCTTTGCATCTGCCTGTTGTTTTATGTTATGGCAGCTTTCAAATTGTAATAGGGGTTGTCTTCCCTCGCCCGTTTTCTTTTTCATTAATTCTGGCTACCTGTGAAGCCATGGGTGATGGTTTCCTAATGACTGTTGTAATGATGCAACAGAGCATATGGCATTCAAGAAGTCACTTAACACGTCCCTTGTGCTTTGCCCCCTTTGCCATCAACTAAAATCCATCTGAACGAGGAATGGCTTGGTATGGCAGTGTTTATTCCAGAGGACTGGCTGCTGGCTTGCATTTGGCTGATCTGCAAACGCTGGTCTTGAGAGAATCCTGTTCTGTTGTTGTCGAAGGAGCTGCACTGAATGTATTAGTAGCTGAATTGAGATTGTGTTTTAAGTGAATCCAATGGAAATGCGAGATGAGGTTCAGGCATTCACAAGGACCCTGTCTCTTCTGCCTAAACACACGTGTTTGCAAGATTGGTCACTTTATTTTTTTTGTTTTGCCAATGGCATGCTGCAAGAAGTATGGCTGTTCTAGAACTGAGATTAGGTGTGTATGTGTATATAATAGTAAACTATTTGTAATAAAAAGGGCTTTCAAAATGTTCTTGTCCTTTTCAGATTCTGATGCTTGGATAACTTGTTAGAGGGCTTCGTAAAGGACATTGGTCCTAATTACTTGATCCTCCTACGTGAAAACATGGAAAAGCTTTATTATATCACGTGCATCCTAAGTGGTTATACTAGCAAACTGCTTAACTGTCAGGGCACAGTAACAAATAGTTCAGCTTCTTATCACTTGTATCTGCGTGATGTTTGATAATGTTTGGGATTTCTTCTTAAATTTAGTAGTAGCGAGTCACMTAAGTATGTGCAGAGGGATGGAGAATGCATTTGCTAGGCTGATTTCTCCCTGTGCACTACTTATTCTGAACTTCATGGGTGTTAATCATGGAATTACATTGAAGAAAGTGTGCTAATACTTAACTCACTGTGCTAATACTTCATCCACACAACAGGAATGTTTCATGGCACYGAATATTTCACACGTGTCTAACAAGTTTCTCCAAGGTGAATCTGCATATACTAACACACTGTTTTAACAACTGGTCRGCTAGGTCTACTTTTTCTTGCACTAGGTTTCTCTCTGGAACAGAGTATGAGAAACACTTTTGCCTTGGGCATCCTTAGCTCATATGCTGCAGATATTTTTCAGAAGTATTTCTGTCACTGTACTTCTAATACATTAAATACAAGAAATCTGAATGTAATCTGAAGAATATCAATAATAGATTAGCTCCTAAAATATGAAAAAGATTTCTCCCCGGAAGCATTGTTGTAAAGGGGAAGAGTTTGTTAAAAAGGAAGATGTATTTTGAAAGAGTAAAGGAGGTCATTGAATCTTGTTACTGCATCACAGGCTGGGACAAAACTTCTCTGTGTTAGAGATTCTCTTCCTTATTTCCTTTACCAATGCAGTGAGGTAGCAGTATAGCAGATACTGCAGTGACTTCAGTTGTAGATGCCACTTAAAACTTTATGCTTGACTCTTCAGACTAGACTATTTAACTTAATTAGTGCTATTTGGTTTAACAAGCTACTTAGCACACTCCTTAAACCATGTTGCTTTACTGGGAAATCTGGAATTTCTAATGCTAACAACATGCTTCATCTTAAAGCCTAGCCAGCAGACCAGTAACCCCTTCCATGGACCAACTAACACTTCTCTTTGCCGCTTCTTTTTTCCAGTTTTTTTCCTGAGTGTTAGGAAGAAAAAAGTCACAAATACAAAATTAGTAGAGACTTTCCCTGTTCCTCGAAGAAACCTCCTCTGTGTCCACCAGTCATTCCTCCCTCCTTGAGAGGGTTGGCCACCGAACGCGTGGGGCACCGCTCAGGCGGGGTTCGTGCGGCGGGGCGGCCCTGACACTAACTGCTGCCCTTGCCCCCAGGGGAACGACATCATCGCGGCGGCCAAGCGGATGGCGCTGCTCATGGCCGAGATGTCCCGCCTGGTGAGGGGCGGCAGCGGCAACAAGCGCGCCCTCATTCAGTGCGCCAAGGACATCGCCAAGGCGTCCGACGAAGTCACGCGCCTGGCCAAGGAGGTGGCCAAGCAGTGCACCGACAAGCGCATTCGAACAAACCTCTTGCAGGTAACGAGTTAACGTGGAGCGTCTCCAAAAGGCCCTTTTTTTTGGTCCTCTCTAAGTACGTGTGAAGGATCGGAGCACAGGAGCTGTGCTGGTAAATCACTGCTCTCTCTCCTTCACTTGTTAGACTTGGTCACATTTCAGGTCTGTTCTTAGATCCCATTGCATAGATTGTGTTTTGCGAAGTCTGGATTTGGTTACAGATAGATGGAAGATGACAATGCCCAAAATAACATGAAAAAATGTTATGCTTTTACCCTGGTCTTTACAATGTTTACATTGCTTTATRGTTCACCTAGCCATTCCTCTTGTGTCGAAGTATGATGGCAGTAATGTAGCGCGCTCCCGGACTTGTTTACCCTCTCAGATCATCAGTGGTGACAGAATATGTATTTGGCCAAGTAGACCCTTAAAGATTATCTAGAGGAGAGTAAAAATATTGGCTCCATTCTCTCAAAGAATTCATGTAGGAAGTCAGGAGTGTAATAAGAAGCTCAAATATCCTACCAATATTCTATGCTTATTTCTTGTCTAATACTAAAGCAGCACAAAATGATTTAGCTGAAARCCCAGTAGATAACTTATTGGATCAGTTTACACTGAACCACTTTGAACTGTTAACACCACTGTGAACTGTGTTTAATGCTCCTTCCATAGGTCTGCGAGCGAATCCCAACCATCAGCACACAACTCAAAATCCTCTCCACYGTCAAAGCCACCATGCTGGGCAGAACTAATATCAGTGATGAAGAATCAGAACAGGTAAGAGGCATGGTAAGAACAGGTAAGACTAATGGTAGTGTGAGCTGTTTTACTTGTTTTTATGGGAAGAATGTCTAGTCTCAGMTATATTCTAGGAATTCAATATCAGAAATTGTAGCTTGGCTGTGTGATAAAGCTAATTTTAGTCTAGTGCCTTGGTTTCTGGTTCAAAGGCTGTAGTTTAATGGTGGKACACTGATTCATCCTAAGCCGCGAGGTTATTTTCATTGAAAATTTCATATGAACAAATTGTTAATCTCTTCATAGCAAAAAGCAGAGCTAGCAAAAGAGTTGGCTTCCAAAACTGTAGGGCAGATTAGACATCTGAGGGGCACTGGCACCCTCTAGGGRGCTGCAGTGAAAATACTTGATTTTCCAATTTGACTGACGATGTTTCCTCATCCTGTAGCTGTTATGACTGCTCTTTTGTTGCTTTTGGGAAAGAGTGGTCAACTCTGAGACACGGRGCTTTATTCAGATTACACTGGAGATGAACAATGACAAAAACGGGGTCTTGCTCTAAATCAGCCTATTTCTTGGTTTCCAGAGACTGATTGTTTCAATTCCTTTTATAATTTAGTTAAGAATGATAGCATGGGCAGAATGTTGGTGTCTTGTTAATACATTGCCAACAATTTTTCTTTTCTTCACAGGCAACTGAGATGTTGGTTCATAATGCCCAGAACCTCATGCAGTCTGTAAAGGAAACTGTGAGAGAAGCAGAAGCAGCATCCATTAAGATTAGAACAGACGCCGGATTCACCCTGCGCTGGGTCAGAAAGACTCCCTGGTATCAGTAGGCACTTGCCACATAAGTATTGTGTTCTGTGACATAAAATGCCTTTTTTTTTTTTTGACACAGGAGAAAAACATGAACAGCAAAAGGTGCTGTAGAAGAGCTTAAAATTAGCTTTTGCTAATGCCCCATTCTAAGGGTATGAATTATATGAATATGCATTTTAGATCTTCAGAAAGCATTTGATATCACACAAGTCAAAATTGCTTTCAACAGTACAATTTTTTTTATTGTTTGTTTGCTTTTGAAGGTTCTCTTCATGAATTTTGTAATCCCAGAAGCACATTTCATTTATGCACTGTATATTCCAGTAGTTTCCATGTGATGATATAATACATGGACTTCACTTTGAGCTTGTACTGAAAGTCTAGGACACTAAAGGACACGAACAGTGTCACCTGGCAGTGAAACAGGGACAATCATGGATATATCAGCATTCAACTTGTCAATAGAACTGTATTAGCTGTTCTTAAGCCATGCTGAGGTTTGCTGAGAATGTTGGGAGGTATTTTAAAAAAAATGGAAGGCAGAAAAAAGTCCTATTTTGCTGAAATGATATTTTTCTCTTGCTGTTAGTTTTGCCTGGCAACAATAAGTTAAGTCGTCAAAAACTGGAGCTGTCCTTGTCACCTTGTTGTCATGCTCTAGGTGGGCATTCCAGAGCTCTTGCTCTGTCCTGAAAAGCTTTGCAGTGGATGTTGGWGTCACACTGTGGGCAGCTTGAGCCTTATGGTTGAAGGCCTTAAACTGCAGAACTTTCCTTCTTTCTCACTTCAGTGATGTGAGCTGAAAATCGTGGTTCTCTTAAGATAGCTGTATGTACTCAAACCAAACATAATCATGTCCAGGACCAGAAAGTGTCATGCCCTGGCTCATTTCTTTTTTTAAAAAAGTAAATGAGCACATACACAGGGCGTTGTTCTACTTTTTTCTCCTTTTTCCTTCAGCCTACCGTTATTCTAATCACTCATGGTAGAAACTAAAAGATGAATGAGTGTTCAATTCGGGATGACTTTTTGCCCCTCTCCCCTTCTTTCCAGCAATGAAACAGCAGTTGCATAAGCTTTTCTGAATCCAAGTACTGCAGGGACACAAAATCCTATGTTTAGGTAGTCAGATGGCTGCTCAGTCAGTGGTTCCCAATATTAACCCTTTTCAGATATTTTTACTGTTTTTTAAACTTGGGAGGCCTGAAGTTCAAAAACCTTTCCAGGTCCTAGTAATAGTAAAATGAACAAAGTGTTAGTATGTCTTTTTTTAAAAAAAAAAATCTATTATTAATAAATAGACTTGGGATATTTTTATGCTTCCATAATTTAACATGCTTTTCTATATGTCCATGTTAATTGCTCAGTAGTCCCCCTTGGCATTTGACAGAGAAGGGGAATTACTGTTCTCAAATGGTTGTCTCTGTTGCAAGGAAACTCCTTCAGTGCCCAGAGTAGCACTGGCCTCCTGGGGACCCCTTGATTTCCCTCGCTGGGAAGTGTTGCCTGGTTCAAGGGCCCTTGTGGAAAAGCTGCTCGGCCAACCAGGGGAGGAGACTGGAGGTCTGGGTCTGTCTGTAGCAGCTCCTCTACACTTGGATCTTCTCGTTTTCTCCTTTCCACTGCACTGTTGTCTAAAAAGGGAAGTTAACCTGGTTTATGGAAACAGCTGCCCCGGGCTGAGCGTGGCTGGGGGTTCGTCCTGGGCTCGCATCCCACGTCTGGGCACGAGGAAACATGTGGTACTTGGGATCTTTCCTTAGGATTCTCTTCTGGCAACTACCTGTAATGGGAAGAGTGAGGAAGAGATGCCAGAGCCTTAACCTGAATGTCTTGCATTTCATTGGTTTATACCAGGTCTTTAACATAACTGTAATGTAGTAATTTCTATTTAATAGTAAATAACACTGAATAGCTAGGGKTTATTTTTAAGCAGTCTTCTGAATAGCCATCCTGTATTTCTTTGCAATGTTCCTTCTTCCCCCATTCTTTTTCCACACCCCGTCCCTTCCTGCCCCACTTGGGGCTTTCCCATGAGGTTGTTTTTTTTAGCATCACTGTTTAGTTGCTTAACTGATATTAATGCAATAKTACTAATGCCTTGAATACATAATTGTTTATGCCAAAGATCACGTTTTGTTTATTGAGGAATGCTTGTGGGAATGTTATGAATCATGGTTGCCTTTAATACTCTTSCAGAATGCTTGCTCTGAGTTCTTGAACCGGTCTGTAGAAGCAGAGATGCTTGTCCACCTTATGCAATTACTGCCTTTTTTTGGAACACTATTGGTCTTCGGACCTGAAATGCAGCAAAATTTGAAAAAGACCATGAATGTCAGTTGAGAATGTTTTGTTTTACCACTATAAGACTTCATTTATAAACCAAAATGTATTATATAGTCTAATGTTTTCAACCTTTTTCTTTGGTCTGTTAAAACAATAAAAATGCCTTTGTACAAATGTTAGCTTGTGATTGTTAACAACGGGGAAAAAGAGGACTAAACAACCTGGGTTTTTGCTTTTGAACCAGTAAAATTAGCAATAATTTACTAGAAGCTGTGGAGTAGTGGCAGGAGCCAGCATGTGCTTGGGCAAGGTGCAGGTCTTGCACAAGGAAAACAATTTCCCTGAGGAAAACTGTCTCTGGGCTCAGGGTGCCTTTCCTAGGGGGTAGGTGTAGTTGGTTGGCCATGAGCTGGTAGTGCCGAATGTGGATCAGTCCTTCCAGAGCCAGGAGCTCAGCATCCTCTCCCTGATGGGAAACGGCCTGTTCTGAGACTCGGTAATGCAGGAAAATGCAATCTTGAAGGAAAGTGTTAAAACCAGCCTTTTGGGATACTATGTTATGATCCATTTCAGAAACAGTATTAATTCAATGGACATACTAGAGCGTTTCCGGGCTGCTAATGTAGACAGCAGCTCTAGATACTTTGGATTTAAGCTTAGGATCAATTACATCTTAGGTCAAGACTCTTAGTAAAATTGGCTTAAGTGAAGGATCCTATTGACTGTAACATAGAGTGAAATGATAAATGAGCAAGGAACAGACAGACGATTCCCCAAATGGAAAATGGTAGACTGGAAGCTTTGTACCTGTTAATTCACAAGAAATGTGTATCTGGATAATATAAGGCTTTCTTACAAACATTGGTCTGTAAAAGCACTGTTTTATCCACAAAACCCAGCTGTTGGTTTAGAAACTTGGAAGGTCTGTGGGCTCCTTACCCAGGGGGGTCCTGCTGAAGCTGGAGGCAGACAAGGTGCTCACGGCTTGGCTTACTGGCCGCAATGCTCAGGTAGGTGCCCTCTTCTTTTTTCTTAAGCTTGTAATCAGTTTTGCTTACAAGTTTGAAATTTGGGCTGTTGAATGAGTTGAGTTCATGCACTGATCTAGTCGGTAAGTCCTGCCTTATCAATTTGGAACTGAACTAGGTTAAGGAAATGACCCTACTCTTAGGTCTGAACCATGTTGATCTCAGCCTACCATGCAGCTACCGAACCTGGCAGGTATGGAGGGGCATGTGTTAATTGACAGGGATAGGCAGCTTATGCTGATGTTGAAGCAAACCTTTGTCAGCTTTCATGATCACTGTGAGGACTTCACTGTGCATATTGTGACTGTTGGATTGTTACCTATTTAGATAAAATAAAACAATAAACAGAAGACAGTTTCTCTACTATGCTCCTAAATATACTCCTTACACTTTAAATACTCACCTAGTGATAATTTTCAGTGATGGAATAGCAAATAATCATCGTTCAGTTGTGGACCAAGACATCTTTGGCACACAAGAGCATTACAAATAGTTTTACCATACTGACAACTTCACAAGAGGAGATGCATTTGCAGTAGAGTTCCCTTTATTTCATTACATTAAAGCACACAACCATTAAATACACTTGACACTTCTACTGTGCTATCTAAAAGCTATGCTCCAATGTACACATGGCACAAATCTGGTGGCATCCACTTCAAACCAGTGGATCATCTGAATCAAAGCTCAGGCTTCACATAAAAAATAGATCTTACTCTCTGCAACTGTATTCTTAAAAAATGATGAGGATGGTGATGGGATTGAATGGAAAGCAAGTGGACTTCTGAAGCAACAACCACCCCCAATTTAATGCAGAATGTAATGTTTATCAGGTCATTTGCAGATGGTACAAATGAAAGCAGATTAAGGCAAATGCTTCTTAAGAAAGGCGGTTTCTTGTAAACAACAAGGAAAATATTTGTTTTCCTCCTCCATCAGAAGCTCTTTCTCAGGAGTGACATTTGCTATGTCCAAGGCTCCTTGGGGAGCCCTAACCATCACTCTGCTGTTCTGTTTCTGAAGGGATTACATGATGTTTTAGGGAATACCAACTTGCAGCTGGCCAAGAGAAGAGCTGAGGCTTCTCTGCAGGCTGCAGCAGCAAAATGTGCTGCCCCAGACTCTCCCAATAGCCTGGCTGGCCTCTGTAATGTGCTTGGCCTCTGGGCTTTGGTATCTGATTTGGCAGTGTAGTGTTTGTGACATTCAGTGGATTACCTATATCTAACTATTCACCAGCACAACGATTCAGTAAAAAAAGGAGTGAAGGTGTATTAGAAAAAAAGGTACCTTATTTTAAAGCCATATTAAGAAAAAATAAGCTAGGTTTTCATTTTAGGACCTGCTGTGCACAAATGCTTTGATCTCAAACTAATCAATTTCTATTGATTGGCACCTACTTAATAGCAACATAAGTCACTAAGCAGTCATTTATGTTGTTTTTCTTTAAGAGGAATTTCCACTTGAAGTAGAGAATCTTCTTATGTTCTGACTTGGAATTTTCCTGCTTTTGTAATATATTTGACACCTTTAAAAGGCTTGTACTTTTCTCCATACATGTCCAGACGATTTACTTTTAATCCTGGAAAACAGAAGTAAGAGTACAAAGATAAAGGCAGAACACTAAAAATCTTGTGAAGCTGCTGAAGTCATTTTCATGCAAGTCATTTTCTTCCAGAATGTTAAAAGCAGTTAAGAAGCCACGGGGACAGTTCTTGTCACTCAGTCCTAGTTGGCAGCCTGGGAAGCTGGGGAACAACAACTCCTATCTGTTCTACCCCATGAGTGAACATCCTCCTTCCCAGGCAAGAAACGTTGAGCAAATGATTTCCCCTTCCTCAGCCTGTGCCCAGGACACCCTTGCTTCTACTAACAGGAAGGAAGCAAAGCAGAAATCTTAAAATTTCCTTCACATTTAAAAGTATAACTTCAAGGACCAACAGTCCCTCTGTTCCTGAGGGAAATAGCAGCAGCTCCTAATTGTCTCACAGATTCAGATTGACTCCTGCTTTCTCATATGTCTAAAAGTTTTGGCATCCTGCCATTTGGTCTAGGACATCCATCCAAATGGAGTCTTTGCTGTATGGGCTATACTCTGTTATGGCCTTAATTGTGCAAAGTCTAATTTGGCTGCAGACTGCTCCTGCAATTTAAGTGTTTCCTCACTAAGACYTTGAGTTTGCTTTAAGCTCACTTTTGGACTTATTCTATAGGCTTCCTGCTGATTTCATGTACAGCTAATTCTGAAGATGAAAAACTAAATAGTTAAAAAAAGGTGAAACAATTAACAAAAGATCAAAGACAGGCTCTATTTCCAATTGTTATTTTGTTTGCTCCACCAGCCTCAATCTCACTTAATTCCCACTCACCTGAAATTGCAAGCTGTTGTATCTTAAACTGGATGTTTAAGCTTGGATTCTCCTCTGGCTTGGGGGCTCCAGACTGCAGGTTCACTATCCCCTTCAGATTGGGTAGCTTCTGAGGAGTAATTTTGCCCACGTCCCATGTTAAGACCTTGTTAGGAAAGAGAAAAGCAGCAACAGCCCTTTAGGAAACCCTCTCTGAGGGCAGGTTCAGAAGCAGCCTGGGTTGGCAGGCTGGGCACAGCAAGCAGCCCAGCAGCCCTAGGAAGGGTTGTTGTGGAGGCAAGCGCGCATGGCTGGGGCTCCTGCAGGACTGACTGGGGCTCATTCTTTTAGAAACAGCAGCCCTTGACGTGCCCACAAGAGCGTGACATCAACAGAAAAGAAAAAAAAAGACCCTCCTGGTAAGTGCAGAAAACCCGCCACTTTCCCCATTTGAAGCAAGGTCTCGCAGTTACTGTCAAACTATGTGGTAAGTACAAAGCAGTAGAGCAAGAGGAGTGGGATTTCTGTAGAGCCAAGTGAGAGGCAGCACACGCAGGGGGAGCCTGATGAATGCACCCAGCTCCAGCGAGCTGCTCGAGTACATAGCGCTTTGCAGTTTGGTTTCTAAGCTGAACAAGTCAAGCATCATTTCAGAGTTTGCAGAGCTATTTTAGAGCAGGGCTTTGTCACAGATCAGGGCTTATTACAGATCAGTTTAAGAGGAAAAACAGAAAACTAAGTTCTGACAAAAGGGACAGAACTGCAGGTAGGCAGAGAATTGCTTCCAGGGGATACTAGGAACGCAAAAATCCACCTACAGTGATCCCAAGACCTGGGAGGGGCAAGGAGAAAAGCAAAATTTCTTTCTGTCAGTTATGACAGTCTTGAAGGTAGTTATTAAAGAAAGACTGGATTCTCTTGCTTTTAAAACCAAGTATAAGTCAGAAAGCTTTCACCTCCACTTCACATCAAGTGCTGAGAAATTCCAAGCGCAGCAGAAAGCTCAGAACAGGGTGTTAAGAGCCAGCAGAACAGCTCAGCTCAGGCTGCATTCCAGCAAAATGGTTCCTTGGGACTAAAAAGCTTCAGGAGCTCTGGGAAACGTAGGTTTCAAACCACAATAGAGTGGGGTTTTTTTTTTTCATTTTTTTCCTATATGGCAAATCTTTTTTTCCTTTAAGCTGATCTTTTGCAAAAGACCTGCATCTCCCATCTCCTGTTTTTCTGACTCTCTATTTTGAGGTCTGCTGCATTTTCTGTACTTCTTTAAAGTGCATAGATTGCAGTAGGCACTACAGAAGAAAGCATCAGCAACATACTGCAGCATCTGCTAAAGGAAAAAAAAATGGGAGTGAAGGTGCAGGAAAAGAGATGGAGACAGGAGCGGATTGCAGACTGACAATAATGAGAAATCACATYTAGGTCTTAAGACTCAAAAAGGTGAACTTGAAAAAGCAAGTTTGAAAATTCAAGAGCATGCTGAAGGAATCCTTTGTGCTATGGCTAGTACAGTGTTTCAGTGTTCTGCAATATGTACAACTTGCTCTACTGTAGTCTTGATGATATTTAAACCAATAAAACTACAATACTTACTTTAGTAACTGGGTCAAACGTATAGGTGCCTTGCGTAGAAGTGAGGTTCATGTTGAGCACTGCCTTTGGCATGTGAACTGTCATGACTACTCCTTCTACTGTTTTTCCCATGTTCTGTTTTGGTCCAATGGTAACATCAAATCTTCCCGAAGAGCTGTTCTCCTTAAAGCTGATCATGTGTTTCACGTACACGGGAATTGCCACCAAGCTAAAGGAGAAACAAGACAGTCAGTATGTGCATCAGGGCTATTCCTCTATGGGYGGGAGTGGGAAGCTCTTAACTGATAAATTAATGCTTCTCTTGCAGGCATATGTTAGAGCCAACTTCTTTCATTCAAGAAGTGATATTCATCTTTGTTCAAGTGATTTTTACTAGTGGGGATTCACAAAAAAAACCCCAACCTTTCCTAATCTTTTTACTTACAGTTTGTATTTTTTAAAGAAGTCTTCTCAAAACAGCCATCAGTCAAGTGAGACTTGGCAAATATTTGTGGTTTAGTTTTTGTTGTTGTTGTTTTTATGAAGTTAGGATCTTCTAAGGATACTCCATCACAAAGATCTACGAGCAGTATTAATTACCAGGAGTGAACAGCCCTATATTATTATCACATGTGATTTATGTCACTGAAGAGTGATTATTTAGTATTAGCAGCTCTGCTAAAAAACTGTTTTCTTATTCTATAATAAGATGGAATATCAGCTTAGACAAAAAGAGAGCACAAGGATTTTGGCAGTGATGCAAATTCCCCTTGTAACAAGGGGAAATCTGCAGTTAGCCACATGGAAAGTATTAAATGGTGCTATTCAAGAACCAGTACTTCTAACCCCAACATACTTCTGTGAGCTGACACGGTAGGAGATCAGTCTGAAATTCCCATCTGGCGGGATAAATGAAAGGACTCTCTCAGACTCCCAGCGCTTGAACCGAATGCACGGATGGAAGCTGACATCATCCAGCAGCCTTGGGTTCTGTAAGAAGGGGCAAAGGGCTAAGTGGAAACTTGCAGCCTGGCAGCAGCCTGAACGAGGCTACTGAAATTTACTCATTTCTTTACTCATTTCTTATTTTTTATATGCTTAAATATTTTTCCTGACTATTATTGAGATACGTTACTCAGATAGACGTTCAGTAACGTCTTACGTGGTACCAAAATTTGTATTTTTTTGTGAACAGATAAAAGTCTGATCAAGTAGTAACTTTTACAGTTGAAGGCAAAGCTTGATATGTTATTTCTTATATGTGTAATATATGAAGCTGCTGTTGCTTTGCTTTACAGTTGTTTAAATCTGATCATTAAGCAGAACAAACCTGCAGAACAAACAATTAAACCTGCCAAATACACTGCTAAACTTACCATGAAAGAAAGAGAAAGATCTGGCATTCCTGAGAGCTTAATGCATGAGTCAATAACACCTTGGATTTCTGCAAAGACGGTGGAACCTGCAGGGAGGACAGGAAAAAAAAAAAAAAAAAAAAAAAAAAAAAAAAAAAAAAGAAAAAGATTAAGGGTGTAAGAAATGTAGTGAGGTGCAGCTGGAGGGCACATGGGCCATGTGCACAGGACACAGCAACACGTCAAGCACAGCCAGAAAAGGCCATTCCAGTTACCTGGGCCCTAAGCTGCTTACTAAAACACATGAGTTAGAGCAAACAGTTCATCTCCTATCAGCAAATTCTACTTGTGCAAGCTGTTACCCAAGGTTTGTACTGTATGTGCTTGAACTGGTTCCCAGCAATGAGCAGATAAGAAGTTCAGGGCATGCAAGCTCTTAGTTTCCCTCTCTTTCACCCCTGTCCTGTGCTTCCACAAAGCAGTCAGTTATGCAGGGGGGTCAGGGTGCTGAAACACATCAAACAGGCAACATCAACACGCAGGAAGTCTGAGCTCCAGCTCGGGATCTTGTTATCCTTGCTTTCCAGAGTTGAAGTGTGGCTTATTTTATAGTAGGATTAAATATGCGCCTGGATGTTGAAAGGACGTTTCCTTAAATCCCTGATAAGGGCAGAAAGGCACAAGCAGGACTCTGGACTAATTAGCCCTACAAGCAAAGGTTGTTAGAAATYAAGTAGAAACTACTGCTGACCCAGTTAGAGGGAGAGAGAAACTGTGGGTTAATACCTCCCTGGAAAAGAAGTGATCCTGTTTCACGTGAATGCATATAGCCATATGCCCATGAAACCAGATACCATCTATTCTAGGGAAGCAATCTTATCTACTGCTCTGTCCTAATGAAGGTTAGGAAAGAAGATTTCTTGCACTGTAAGTCCCAGAGGAATAACAGGAGAAAATAGCAGTTACRATTACAGCACTGGGTCCTCAGTAGAGGTAAATAATCTCAGTGGTCTCATGCTTTAATTAGGATTAAAATAAATATAGAAATAAGCACAGGGACTGGACATGCACACTGCTCTCAGAAGCAGTAYGGAGCTAGGGGCCTAAGGCAGCTTTGCCTAAGTCCTGATGGGAGATCCCTTCTGCTTGTAGCATTACAACAGGGAGAGCAAGAGTTGCACCACGGTCGCTTAATGATCAGTGCCCCAGTGTGTGTTAAATTAGTGTATGGAGACCAAAAAAAAAAAAATTTGGCTATTGTTACTAATAGCAGCATTAAATTAAGAAATCAGAGATTTAATCCCCTCTCTGTCTCCACAAACTGTTATCAACCAGTGAGCCTTGCTAATGAACAGAGCAGAAGGATCTTGTCTACAGCCCAACAGTTTTCTTTTTGGATCAGCTTTTTTCCAACTCTTGGAACTGGTGACATTTACACMTAAGTTAGCAGATTCCTCTTCACAGCTAAATTTCTTATTAGAAATTTTTTATTTGACAACATCATTTTTTCTAAGTTAYTCATAAGAAAGAGTATTGTTATGGTTTGTAACATCTGACTCAAGTTTATATACAAGGAAAACAATACCATCTGGCTCTTTGTAGCAAGTTTTTGCTTGCTATGAGAAGATAGCTAATGACTGCTTTTGTAGGGCTCCCCATAACACTTGGAGGAACAAGGGAGATAATTTTGTCATCACATTTAAAGCTTTAGATTTTTTCCCTTCTACTTGTCTCTCTCAAGAGATAACCAATATACAAAGTGTCTAAGTACAGAATACTTCTTGTACAGCATGTTCATTAAGCCTAGTGCATGTTGCTATTATAAAATGAATAAAAAAATATCTGGGCATGTTATTTTAAATGGGCAGTGTATTTCCATTTAAGATATGGAGATATGTATATAGAACATACATATAAACATGGAGAAGTGGCTGCACTGCATTCTCCCTAATGATCAGTGGTAAATATAAAAATGTGCAACAAACAAATATGAGTCCATATATCATCTTACCTGATTTGTCTATAATTGCATCAATTTCTTCAATGACATCAAAATAGGCTTCGTTATTGGTGTATTTTACCCCTGCTCTGCGCCAAGGAATGTTGGACAGCTGCCCAGTGGGAAGTGTGTCACCCACATTACTACTGCCTTAAGAAGGTGAAAAGAAACTCATAGAATCAGTAAGTAATTAACAAGAGGAGAATTCCAGATATCACAGTTACGAATTAAAAGAAGATTTTGACCCTCAGAACTGAAAACTAAAATCTCCAACACTAAAATATTAAGTTATTGGATTAATTTCAAGTACGTGTCGGGACATTTTTGCACAACACAAGGCTAAAGTCAGCAAAAGATTTTTGAATGCGAGAGGATGGAGGACTAGATTCTCAGGAGGATTCAAATGCTGCAGTTTAAGACTTCAGAGCTCCTTGTGAGTGCATTTGAGCCGGCTGCCCTTACCTGTGAGGTATAATAGGCCTCYCTACCACCACCCTTGCACAACTGTGTTGCAGTGCTCTCCTGAGCACGCCGCTGTGCAGCCCTGCAGGCCACCACGAGCCGTGGCTGACACTGGGTGCACGGGGCCTCTCCTCTCGACCTGCCATGGGGCTCCCATCCACTCGTCAGACGTGCGGATCCCACCAGCTCAGCTGACACACGTGGCGCTGTCACCCCGTTGGTGACAGCCTCAAACCTGCCCTGGACGCGATGGATGCTGAGGGTGACAGGGAGCGTGTGGGGGCAGGCTGAGGAAAGGCTACTTGCTTCTCCTCAAACTATTTGTTCCCAGCCACCAAAGATTGATTGGCCAATTATTAGGTATCTGTTCCTTATCTTTACACAATAACTTTGTATAGCATGTGTAACCTTCTCCAGCGCCCCAGCGTTATTCAGGACCTGGCATCCCAAAGCACCTGTCTCCGGTATGTGCTGCCTGGGCCACGTCCTGCTCTTCCTGAGAGACTTYGGCAGCTGTGGCTGGACCAGACATTACCCCTGAGGATATCAAAGGGGCCTGGCCTAAACTGCAAATACAGAGTAAGCCGCCTTCGCTCAGCAATTAATTATGGGAAGTGGAAGGACAGGGGCCTGAACTTGCAAGTTCAGAGCAATACGGTATTGATTTTCAGTCAAAAACCATCACAGTGCTGGGTTTTTAAGCAACAAAACACTTCTGAATATTACGTAAGTTCATACCTGTGATGGAGTTGACAACGGAGCGCAAAATTGTGGGAGGCTTAATCAGCTCCTTCAGTATGTTGGATTCCGTTGCCAGTGGAAAGCCATTGTCCAACATTTCTTCTAGCAGCTCGTACACAATAACTACATTGTCCTTAATTGCGGTCTCAGAGCACTCGCCAAAGTAATCCTAAACAAATCACAGATTACAAAGGGGAGGATTCTTATTCCTGTTAAAATGCCTTACAATTTTTTTTAATGCTTACAGAAAGCCTCTAGTATACCATGGGATTTTAGTGACAAAAATGACTAGCTACTTCTATAGCCTGATTGCACTATATGYTAATGTTGTATTTACCATGTAATTAGAAACATGGACAGTGTGAATAGTGAAATGAATGCAATATGGTTTACTCTGGATTTGTGTCCCAGGGTTTTCCCACTTAGGGAACATTAAGACATGCTCAGTCAGAGACTGCTGTGAAAAATGAAAAATATCTTTTGAGAAAGCCCAACCTCTTCTGAGGATCTTTTATTTGGAGTATCTGCCAATGTTTACAGAAACAAGGGAGCTTTTATAAATTGGACTTGGATTTAGTGCATGTGCACTGGTAACTGTAAATCAAGTGAATACACGAGACAAATCTTCCTTTCCTTTTTACTTCCTAAACCAACACATGACTTAAAAATTGCCAAGGGGAAAGAAGCGACAGGAGGGTTTATTGCCTTTCTTTAAAAGATGTTCGCATAAAAATTCCTTTGGATTTTTTTCGGTCTTAAAATTACTTCATAGTAACGTACCTGGAAAGTATCTGCTACTCGGTGTAGAAATTCGATTACAAAGAGTGGTGGCACTTCTGTCTGTATGACAGACACAAAGAAGATCTTATCCCGATAGATGCTGATGAGGTAGTGATGTGGCGTTGGGATGACAGGAGGCACATTTTCAACATCCACTGCCTTCTCCTGGGCTTCAAAGAAATAATCACACACAGATTGGCTCACAACGCTCTTCCAGTGCTTCTCCAAGAATATATCACCAGAACAGTTTATAAGAAACAGACTGTGGATCATTTTCTGTTGGAAACATATTTGAACAAGTTAAAACAAACAAAAGGATTTGAGGATTGACATTTTTCTTCTCCTAGGTCTCMTTTCTTATAACGGTTACTCTTTAACATTCATTGTGAATGAAGCTAAGAAGATACTGCTTTACTACTGGTTTAAAATAGTGCTTTCTTTATTTAGGGGAACGTTACACTCAAGGTGGATTAAGTYACTAATGTATGTCACAACTTAAGAAGCTGGCACCCTCAATTTCTACTTTCATCCTTATTTAGCACTCAAGAAAGATTCTCTCTGGTCGGCACCCATTTAGACATGTTGTTTGATAACAYGAACAGCTGGATACCTTCTACGTGAAGTTTCCTGCTTTTCATGCAACAGAGGAGTCAGCATTACACTTACACATACACAACTGAATGCTTATGTCCCTTAAAGATAAATATACTCTCTACTGCCCTTTCACACACRGGATACAGACAGGCTCATCTCCACTGTGACCCAAACATGTCTTAGATATCTCTTGTAAAGAGCACAGTCCTTCTTGGTAGACACACAAAAAGCAATAGTCRATACATGGATGGAAAGATCCTACTAAGCCAGCAAAGTATATAAAAGGATTTTAGTTTGGAAACTGTAACTGTCAATCTGCTTAGGAGTGGGAGAGAAAACAAGTCTACAAAGCAGTACTACTGCAAGCTTCATGGATCACATTCATTTCTATATTACTTGGTTAAAAAAAAAAAAAAAGACAAAAAAAAAGACAACTTTTTTACTGCAAGCAGAGCATTCTTATAAAGGAGCTTTGGCACAATTGCTCTAATCTCGTTTCACCAAATGTGTTCTGAGTTTAGCCAGCACTGAACATTAAACCCCTCCAAAATGTCCCAGACAGTCAAACAACAGGGGCACGTATAATCAACCACTGAATGTCAGTATTGTTCTACACCAAGGCAGTCCAAACATATGAAGGTGATCAGCTACAGAGCTCAGAACAGCTCCCTGTACATTTTACCATGGATACAATAGCATAGTTGTTAGCAGAGATAAAGCCCAGTTCCCCATGCAGGCAGCCAGCGCTGCAGGGAGGAGCTGCAATGTGGGCTCTGCTGACTACACTGATAAGACCCCCGTTCAGAGGCACTGATAAGACCCCATCTGGAGGTGGCTCGAGGCACAGTGGCAGCGCGGTATGCGGATGGCTGCACGGGTTAAGCCCTCACGTTTGTTCTGCTCTTGAGGTTCATGGAGTCTCTTCATCAGCATGGCTGCATCTCCTCCTATACGCTTAAATCAGCCATGGCTGAGTACAGTCACCGGTGCCACGACCACACCGAGCTCTCCTGGTAGGAGAAATGACTCTGCTCACACAGCCACCTCTTTTGCCAAAAATCCCACTTATGGTGTTAGACCATGGCTTGACAGACAAAAGGAGGGCCCAGGTGGCCAGAAAGGGCCACTCGACCATGGCCGCTATCTACTCATTTGTGTTGCCRCCCCAGGCAGCCCAGAAACCAGTTGTGAGAATTTGTGCTGCCACATGGCAAACTGGAGCAACCAACTGCTCCAGGAGACCATGCCTAGCAGATTAGAGCTTTGCAAATCCACCCAGCTGCCACCACATCTTCTGACAGACTTTATTTCAATTCCAAGCAGAGCAAGGCCTGCTCCAAGCTGAGCATCTCAGCTCCTCCTGGCTGGCAGCAGAGATGCTCAAGCAGAGGTGCGAGACCCAGTCTGTCAAGTGCAAGGCCAGTGCATTTGATTCATCCCACACAGAATCACAAAAGGGTTGAGGTTGGAAGGGACCAACCAGATGATCTGGAGATCATCTACTCCAACCCCCTGATCAAACAGGGACACCTACAGCATGTGACACACGATCATGTCCAGGTGGGTTTGGAAGATCTCCAGAAAAGGAGACTCCACAACCTCTCCGGGCAGCCTGTTCCAGTGCTCTGTTACCCTCAAAGAAAGAAGTTTCTCCTCATATTCAGATGAACTACTTGTGTTTCAGTTTGTGCCCACTGCCTCTTGTGCCCACTGCCTCTAATCAGCATTTTTTTTCATTATAATTTCTGAAATTGTTTTTGAAGGGAAGTAATCCTTTTGGTATAGGATGAACTTGACTTAAAATAGCATTTAGTATCCATAACTACCTTTCCCACCACCTCCGTGTTTTTGTATCAAGAACTACAGCCTGAATAAGAATTTGTGCAGTATTTCATCTACTGACAGATAAGCTTTCCAAAAATATGTTTGCATGCTGTCTTTGTTCGTTTTCGTTTCAGCATAAATTCTCTAATGGCTGGCAATTGCATATCTATTGCCAGCACAACAATATTAGCTCCAGAATAATCGAACTGAATTAGATGCTGAATAATTGCATTCCATTTGGTTTATGCAAGAACTAAAAGCCTCGCCGTAAAAGCTCAAAATCTAATAGAGCTGCTTAGGAAAAAAATAAAATTAAAATTTGACTGTTACAACTATGTTTTTACATGAAGATGGAACTGCGTCCGCAGCACAAATCACATCAAATCAGTTGACTTAGGACTACTAGGACTATTTAAGAAATTCACTCTCTGGAAATGGTATTGAAAAAAACAGAGAGRGAGAGAGAGGACTAAATTGACTCTGAGAGGGTCAATATCTCATCACATTTCCTGTCAAAGGGATCTGCAGGAACAGATGGATAATGAGGCTCGTATTCCAGCCAAACCAGAGCACCATGAAGGGGCAAGGCAGCAGGGGATTCAGCCACAGGAAACGAAAGCCTTGCTCTGGCAGTTCCTTGGGAAGATATCTTCCATCATGCTGTTCCAATACACTGCTCCAGCAAGCGTGACAGCCTGAAGAGACAGTGACAGCGTTTAACTGTTCTTTTTTCATACACTCTATTTTAAGAGCCATTCCAGGTTCAAGAAAGGACATGCACAGCACCCAAAGTGCCATGCAGTACTGAAATAGCAGAGCAGAGCAGCGGGCATCACTGGAATCCTGCTGCAAAGGACAGCTCTTCCTAAGGTGTGTGTGCTGTGCCACAACTACTTCAAAATCCCGATGGGAAAAGGAAGGTAAATTAATTATTTTTCCCCCTCTCTTCCAGTGCACAAACTGCTTAATTTTGGTGTCCGAAGGAATAAGATTAGACTTCATACTACCAATTATTAAATGACTGTTAAAAAAACATTTAAAAGATCTAATGTGTTCCCTGTGTATTATTACTTAAGTTTTGAATGAAATATGGGAAAGAAGGTGGGTGAAAATAATGGGAGAATAACAGGAAGACTCTCTGCATTTTAAACAGATTTAATCGGGTTTCTTCCTGCCATTACAGCTAYGAAGTACACCTGCCACTTGTCACCTGCTGTTCGTATCTCTCTACCTCCAGGATTTCAACTTCTTCAGAAATACATCTTATCATGAGATTTCAAGATCACCTAAATCAGAACTACTTGCAAGGTGAGTTTTGTTCGCAGGAGTAACTGGGACTCAATTATGACTATGCACAACAGAAAACTTCGTGCAAGGGCACTACTGGAGCACATGGAGGGGTCTTCATATTTACTTTGCCATCTGTGAGGAATTTTCAGGTGAGTGCACAAGGACTGGAGAGAATCCATCTACCCCACTTCGTCAAAACCTAATTTGTTCGAGCTTTGAGTTAGCACACAGCAGGTCACAGACTAACTTCTTGACATTTGGAGTGAAACACCATTTTTTTTTTAATAAACGAGAAGCAGTGTACAATTCAAACCTGCTGGAAACAACCGGCTGAATCATTATCAGCCTTTACCTTTGTAAAACGCTGCTTCCATCATTTTGCCTCCTGTATGAGTAATCTGATTTGCTTGTGCTTTTCCTGCAAAAGAGCTTTTCCTTTCACATACCACAGTCTGCCTGCTATRTGCATGGATTTCCATTATTTGTTATGAATCATGGGGTTTAGTTGTCAATACCATAGATATATTTCATGGCAAATCAGGTCTTTAAACTAGAGCCAGGCTTACTGGGTGCAAACCATCCAGCAGATTGGAAAGATGGCAAGTGCCTGGCGACTGCAAAGTAGATCCCGCTCCTTTCTCCTGGGACTTCTGCTTCAGTYGGCCCTGTTCTAGAACGAACCAGATCCTACGAAATCCGGGTGCGTGAAGGAAAGGGGAAGGGAGTGGAGCAGAGTCATCACCCAAGCTAAAGGAGGAGGCCCCACGGGTTCCCCTGCATCCCCTGCCCGGGACCAGCTGAGATTCCCGTGCGGAGCAGCCCGGCCTGGCCGAGATCTCTGCGTCTCCCACAGCCGCTCTGCGCAGGGCCGCGGCTGCGGGGGCACCAACCCGTTCACGGCTCCGGGGGTGCACAGCAGTCCCATCGGCAGCAGGGCACTSTGCTGCCGCCTTATCCGATGGAACCAGGGACAGCCGTGGAGCGGTGTGGACACAGGAAAGCCACCAAGGCGGCAGATCCGGACCTGGGAACGCGTATGCTACTCGTTCTTAAGGCCAGGCACAACTGATCTGCTAGAGGGTTGCAAACCAGAAGGGTCTSGCTGCGGGCAGAGCTCCTGCCTTCCCGGCGCGCCCGCGGTGCCCGCTTCTCCTGCGGAACCGGAGCTCAGTGGAGCCGCACCGCCGTCTCGGCCGGGCGTGTAAACGGAGCGCGAGAGGCGGCAGGACAGAGCTCCCGCCGCGGCCCCGCGGCCGCCCCGGCGGCACCGGGGCGATGGCGGCGG